TTGGAAAAATAATATTTTTTATTAAAACCATAATGATTCATCGTTACAAGTTATGGATAATTAGTAATACAAAGAAAAGTAAGAAAAGTTTAATTTTTCTAGTAAACTTTTCTTTAGATTTAAACACCTAGCAGTTAAATGCTTAAAAATAAATAAAAACACTAACTATAATTGCTATTTCTTCTTTCAAATGTTTAATACTTGAAAAAGTATTCATTTGACATTGTGGGTTGCGTGGTTGCAACCTACAATGCGAAGAGATGGCGCTGCCTTGCAGCTTAAGGCTAGGAAAATTTGGACGCGGCGAATAGGGCCGTGGTAGCATAATGGTCAGTGCATTCGCCCGGATTGCGAAGGGTGCGGGTTCGAGTCCGGTCCGCTGCCTGGTCTGCGTGGTTTTTTTTTCTAGTAAACTTTTCTTAAAATATTTTGAGTTTACAGTGAGATGAATTGTAAAAGGTTCGAATGATTCGGAATTTCTTAAGCCGAGTAGTTACTCATTGGCGAGCTGTAACCATAACCGTTGCACGCACTGTAACCAAAAAGCATAGTGTGTACGTGGTTCGATAACCTGCTGCGAGAACGGTACGCGTGCGGTTTGAAGCGAGCCAACGTTCACAACTGAGCTACTAGCGTTCACACTAGAACTTCGTACTGTATCACGCATGTTACGGTAACAGATCGCTAATGCATACCCGGCTTTACTGTCTTCCGAACTCCCGGCAACAACAAAAGAGTTAAACAAAAACCAATTACAGAAAAAACACTCCCTCCACTTTCTTCCAGCGTTCTTTTTACATGACGCGCCCTGTACAAGTCCTGACATGTTTGTTCAATTACTTTCCGCTTTGCTAAATTGGTTTAGACTAGGTCGTACTAGTTTATCCTAGAGTGTGCGTATTTATATCAGGATCATCTAGTTTGGCCTAGGCTAAACTGGTTTATCCTGTCGCGCTTAGGATAAATTAGTTTGGACTAGGCTATACTAGTTAATCCTATCGCGTATAGGAAGAACCAGTTTAGCCTAGGCAAAACTAGATTGTCCTGAAATCGGGTTTGGCCGGTAACACATACATTGATCCAGTCCAGTTAGGAGGCAGTTGCAAGCACATCAGATATCAAAATGTATTACAATGTCAGAAAATAGGAATTCAGACGATTTTTAAATGTAATAATAGTTTCCGTCTTATCGAAACCGGAAGAGAATTCCATAGATGTACAGCTTGCACTGCAAACGAACGATGGAAAAAAGTTGTGCCGTGTACGGGAGTCATAAGAGCATGATTTTCTGATGATCTTAAAGATAACGTGTTAGAATTATGCAGGAAATTAAAACTTTCCTTGAGATAGCGCGGTTACTTGGGATTGAACAATATGTTGTAAAGAAGAGAAAGGATATGAGTAATCCGGCGAAGGCGAATAGGCAGTAGATTACTTCATTGATCTAATCAAAAAATGTGTTTCTGCTCTTCCATTCTTTCGGAATCTTACATAACCCGCGAATAGGTAGGTATGTCCTCGTATACGAGGTTAGAAATATGGGTATAAAATTTTACACTGTACAGATTCAACCACCATAATCTATAGTTTCAAGGTCCAATGGATATGTTATTCAAAATACAGCATGAAATTATGGAATCGAACACTCCTCCGTAAGAGAGATATAATCAAAAGTAGGTCTACTTATCATACTTAGTAGTCCTGCTTAACTTTATAATTATAGTAAAAAATAACGGACGAAAATGATCATAGCCAGCAATTGAGTTCATAGAATAGTTCATTATTACAATTATGTCATTCATATGTCGTTTCAACTTCGTCGGTTATCGGTATTTTTAAGTGTAGTCTGTAATAGACCGATATTACACGACAAAAGTAAACTGTCACAAGTGATAACGGTATTCTACGAAAATACCTACTTATCAGTCATCATCGATTGCATTGCAGTGAAGCAGATTTGAACTTCGGATACAAAATCGTAACATAACACCAGAAAAAAGTATAGATATTTATAGTCAAGAAACGCTCACCTTTTCCGTGACAGCTAAGCCAGCGTATTGTTCTGCTGAGATACAGTCTCCCTTCAACCAACTCGCTAGTCTACCTAGCTCACCCAACATGTTCGAAGGTGTTAGAGAACTTAAAGCCATATTCTTACTCACTGCCTCCACTTACAGCGTAACAATAAGCAGTTAGTAAAACTTTGAAACCGTTACGATCCAAATCAAAGTTAGCATTAATCGGCCAACAGAAATGAGAAGTTCGTAAACCGCCGCGATTGCAATGGAACCGATGGTTATGAAAGAAAAGTTTTCCAATCAACCCTTATATATTAAAGTCGATGCATAATAAAGAGTCAAGCTTCGCGATTACGTAGGTACGAGTCGTATCGAGGGCACCGCTGTAACGACTGACAGTAAACTGTCTTCTCGGACTGCCGAAATACTTACCTAGTTCAGTTTGAATCTGGCACTCCCGGCAATGCAATGTTACGCTTAATCATCTTCACGTACGCCCCATTTTCAAATGCCACGGGGAAAATGTTTCGTCAGAGAGCATGCGCACAAAAATGAGGCGGCAAGCTGTGTCTTAGCGTACATCAAAGGGAGATAGACGATTCTGGGGTATTTCGTTGAAAATCGTAAAACTGTCTAGAAGTTGAAGGGGTCTTTAATATCGTTGCGTAAAGGCTTTCTTTGACATGGGCATACATTTTCCATAAAGGTTTTTTTTTTGTTTTTGTAAAACCCGCTCCTTAGACGACATCATACGTTCATGAAGTCACCTCCCATTCAAATACATTTGGTAATAATTTTATCGCCTCACGGTAATTGAAAGTAATCCTATGGATATTATAAATGTGAAAGTTTTATAAGTTTGTAGGATTGTATGTTTGTTACTCAATCACGCAAAAACTACTGCCCGGATTTGGAAGAAATTTGGTACGCATATAGTTTATGACTTGAATTGAGACATCGGATACCGAATTTTTATCCTTGAAAAATTTTAAGCAAAGTTAATGCGTACAAAGTCGCGGGCGGCCGCTAGTATGATATAATTGCAATTGCTGCTTTTATTATTTTACTCTGATCATTTAGAAAAGTAATATACCCCCTATTAAAGATTTCTTAATATTAAAAGGGATTTATCTCTCTTTTTGTTTAAATTAATAGCTGATAACACAGTAACCATCTTCAGTTTAAATAACTCTTTTTCAAATAATTCTATACATAGCTTCTTGCCATTTAATCATCATAGAATGATAATGTCATGAGTGTATGTTTGAAATATATTCTTAAAATATATAACTTATCAAGGAAGCATTAATAATTAACATTTCTGTGCTTTGTTACCAAGAATCAAATTTATAACTTGAAGCAATCGGTAGGCTGTGTTACATAATAGCAAACTGCTGCCCTGTTAAATTATGTCTACAATGACTAGAGTTATCACCCGTATGGATTAATGATTGGAATGAGAAAAAAGGATGTAATTTCTCTACTTTCCAAAAACCAAATGGATGATAATTTTTGGTCACAAAGAAAAAGATCAGATTTAACAGTAACAATGAATCACAAGTATTTAGTTTTGTACTAGGAGTCAAAGGGACCCATCACACTCATGTAAGGACCACAGTCCCCACAATGCGCGGCGAGAGTGCGGATGATTTTGCGGCACCAGATTTCCAACTGGCCGCGCATTGTCCATTTCCAATCTCCCCCCATGTGCGGTGCCCCAGAGTAAAAGGGGCGTCACCCTTCACAGCCTTCCACCTCGGGCCATGGCCCTCTTGGACCTAGGATAAATACACCCTTGACCTTTGGTTGGTTTGGCTATGGTTATTCATAATGGTTATATATTATAAAAATACAACAGTTGAGTCAAAGTTTGTTATAAGTAAAGCTCTGATTCTGATTCCTTTTTGTTATACATAATCATGTTTCATTCTCACAATCAATATAAAAGGGGTATTCAAGGATCTTAAAGAAATTGCATGTTTTATAATTCAATAACATATTAATTTTGTCAAATCTTTAAATGACAAGAAATGTTATGAAACAAAATTAAAATGAAATGTCTCATTTGACACTGCTTAGATTCTGAGATGAAATGTTTACCATTATTTAAAACCAGGTGGAGTATAGTAATTGGCTTGGAGTAAATTTATATTTTTAAGGGAGTATTTTTATAATGCATGGTATGAATAAATATTTTAATACAATAAGAACGGAAATTTAGTTTTATTATTGGGTGTCATAGGAGGAAATCATTTCTTTCTAGGGTGACCTCTTATATTATAGTTAAAATATTTAACAGCAAAGTGTCTGCTTTTAATTACTTTCAATTGAATTGCAAATACTTATACCTACAAATTCAGTATTGATATCATAAATTTATTATCTTGATAAGCAAAACATTTGACCTAAGGAATAACAAGGTACGTAAATCTGTTTATTGCAAAAATCTACAGAAAAATATAACAATTAACAAATAAATTTGTATTAAATGAATATAGGCACTGCTGTTGAGCCCTTGATTATATGTTAATATTACGAAAAATGATTTGCTGTCTAATGGGTATGGAAATTTTAACATTGTTTTTAACATAACAGTTACCCAGGTAGGGTATGCAGTTCGATAAAAATTAACTTTTGCTATATCTTAGAAATGTATTTTTTCTGTTGGTTAAACTCCATAAATACAATTCACATCATTTATTTCAGAACTAGATTCCATAGTGCATAACATTTCATGAGAATAGCACAGAAATCTGGATCTAGATAACCTCTTTAATTTGATGTGATGTTTATTTTAATGTAAAAAACAAAAAGATCTGGTTATAAATAACCTATTTTTGACGAGACAAATAAAACCAAGATAAAAAGATCTGTAAAAAGTGGGTAGAACAGATGGTAGCTTTTAGCAATTGTATTTAGTAAGTGACTTTTTCTGAAAAGTAATGGTTTACGTTTACAAAGATATCTATAAAAATTGCTTACCTTTGGAGTTTGCATGTTATCCATAGTTATAAAACACAAAAATCAATACAAGAACTGAATCACTTCACAACTAAGGTCGGTATTTGCAATGTAATGTATATAAAAATCCATAACTTTTACATACGATAAGAAAATCTTACACTAAATATAAAAAACAACTAAAACAACAAGAATGTACTTAATGAATAAAAAACAGATTTATTTCAATTCATCACAAACTTTTCGTATTAAAGTGTCGATGCTATGACATCTGTTATTTGACATTAACAGTATGACGTTCCGTACCACACTCCGGATGCAGCGGCTGCATCCGGAGTGTAGTACGGAGGCTGCACTGCAGCCTATCTATGTCAAAAACATTTGATTTATTCACAAAGTCTTAGGGTACGGTAGTTTAAGCAGGATGGCCATAGTGGCAGCTGGCAACCTGCTTAAACTACACTTTTTATTTCTCGCTCTCGCCGTACCCTTAGGGTGCGGCCAGAGTGCACAGATTCAGATTCAGATTTCGAAAACAAGCGCGAGAAATAAACAGTGTAGTCGAAGGGTACGGCCAGATTGCACTCCTGATTCAGATTCAGATTCAGGCTCAGAAAACAAAGCGCGAGAAAAAGCAGGCAACCTGCTTAGGGTGCGGCCAGAGTGCACTCAGATTCAGAGTCAGATTCAGATTCTGAAAACAAGCGCGAGAAATAAACAGTGTAGTCTAAGCAGGTTGCTTGCTTTTTCTCGCGCTTTGTTTTCTGAGTCCGAATCTGAGTCTGAATCAGGAGTGCAATCTGGCCGTACCCTTCGACTACACTGTTTATTTCTCGCGCTTGTTTTCAGAATCTGAATCTGACTCTGAATCTGAGTGCACTCTGGCCGCACCCTTACGCACTAGCCGCATAGAGCAACACAACCGACGCTGCTAGGAGAGGAGTACAGATTGTCTTTAAAGTCGCGACCATGGTCGTGGCATGAATGTTTGAGGAACTAACATTATTCATGTGTCCGGCAACACCAAACTTATGTACATCAGCTGTCATCGAGTTTCAGTTGTGGAACAGTATTTTTTATAGTTTGGATTAAACTTTAATAAATTAAGACGAAACTACGCAGAAAGGTATAAAAATGCGTAAAGTAAATCGGAGTGGCACGCGGGTGTGATTTTTAAAGTTTTCCAGCGATATTTCGAAGACTACCAAGCTGGACGAATTTTGCGGGATTTGGATGATGTTTATGGGCGAACAGCATCTATGACGGGTATGTAATCATGTAACTATTTGTTTGTAATCTGCCTGAAGTTACAAATTTACTCAATTTACGATTTTGACACCAAAAAAGGCATTGTTTACATTGCACATTTTTAGGTTAGATTGACACTGGTATCGATTCTGGCACGTATCTCAAAATCTAAACTTAAATTTGACAACAGTGTATCCTTGTCATTCTCTATACAGAATGAAAAGGAGAGACTGATATTAAATTTAGTTTTAAGTTTAGAGAATCACACCAGAATCGACACCATTGCAAATAGGTAATATTGTAGTACGACCATTTCTTTTGATACGTTTTTATTTCAACTCGGTCACGTTTTCTACCAATTTTGAATTAATTGCTTCATGTCAATAAGTTATTGTTTCTATTCCGTTACATATTTTTTTTACTTTTTTTCAGGAAAATCAGAGTCGGATAGTGAACGAAGGTTTTAAGAATGATGGAAAGTTTGAAACTCCTGGGAAAACAGGCAAGGCCGACCAAAGAAACAAATGGTCACATAAAGAACCATGGCGAGATGCTTTTAGTGAAGATACCTATCACTAATTTTACTAACTGCACATTTACAAATTGTTTCTCTGAATTAACTTTTTATATACTATAAAATGATTTTTAGTATTATCTTCTTAACAAGTGTGTTAAAAAACGTCGTATGATGATACTTGTGTGTATTGATGATTATCTAACGGCTCTGATCTTAATGGCACCTCAGCGGTAATCACCAACATTACACACTTTTACACTATAAAGTACTATTTTATTTATAATAATTTTATTCTGATTCAATTAAAAATGCTTGGCTAAACTTTTTATAAGCATAGGTACCTACTATATATAAAACAGAAACAAAATACGACTGTATAGTGTGTCTTATTAATTACCTATTTTGCTTGAATGAACTGCTAGTATCAAAATCATTTTGGTCCGACTGTATAGGGTTGCTACATGCATACTAGTGGCGCCATCATTTAATGTCATGACTTTATAGACAAACTGTAAACATAAACACAATACTACTGAAATCATTCTGCTTGTTTTTGCGGGGGGAGTAATATGCATAAAAATGCAGTACCTACAAGATACTTTCGTAAAAACGGAATAGTAATAACGACACTCACACATTACGCGCTAAATCGGACATAGATGAAGCTTAATTTTTTTTATGATCCTGAAATACAGGTTGTCGCGCATGATGCTTTGTGGGCGTTCGGTGTGGTTGTCTTACTCTATCTTTATACCTAGTGCAATGAAGTATATTAACTACTACCAAATACGAACACATTCTTTAGAAGTTCAATCAGAAACCACACAGAACCACACATGTCTCATCGTCTGCCTACAACCCACACCAACAGGGTGTACAATGGACTGAGGCAGACCGCGATTATTCATACTTTCGGCATTGAACAATTTAACCATGTCACTATACTAGTGCAAGTTATATTAATGTTTCATACCTTATTCTGTCTTGTGTTAAGTTTGCTATAGATATCTGCTTCGCTTATTTCAATTTATTCCCTTCGTCAATTGTCAATATCATCAAGGAACCTGTACAGAGAAATTATACCATGAATCTCAGAGTTGAGACACTAAGCATCTTCCTCGCCATGATTAATACCTATACATTACATGTATACACACATTAATATTGACATATACATTCACGTCGATTTTCTGCTCATTTTACATGTCGTTTCATGATTGGCACAGGACACTTTCGGCGTATCCTGTTTGATTCTCATAAGCCTTTGATTATGAGGCCAAGGTGTATCAAGCAACCCTCGCACACACTCATTTTGGCCTCCCTTGTTCATCGTGGAGCCAAGGTGTGTCTAGCAACCCTCGCACACACTTATTTTGGCCTCCCTTGTTCATCGTGGAGCCAAGGTGTATCAAGCAACCCTCGCACACACTCATTTTGGCCTCCCTTGTACGTTCAGTCAAGTGCACTAGACTAACATCCCGCGCAACGCCCGCAAGCGTTCGCCAGTACAATCGCCAATCAATGTTACGAAGGTACTGCTCTTAATAAGTAAGTCCCTTTTTTGACCTACCAATCGACACGTGAAATCATAATACACATCACATAAACCATAAATAGTAATTAATTGACTCGGGGAAGATACTTAGCTCTCATATCCAGAATCTCGCCAGCAGCACACCTTTCAGCCGGAGTTGAACAGGCAAAGAAAACTTTTCTGACAGGCAAAAAACCGCGGAGCTACGGACCACAGATCAAGTATTAAACTCGGTTCACCACAGATTACAGGATTTTGTTGACATATCCAATATTTACATTTCGCGACTTGGTCACGTTTGCCCGTCGCGACACAGGTAGCTTTCCAATTACAGCAATATTATTTATTGTTGAAAAATTATTAAAACTTTCGTTTCATTATATTTTTTTTAAAATAATCAAAGTCAATAAGTATGGATGAAGGTATAAACATTGTGTTGACGCATGAGTAAGAAGTTCTGCCTACACCAGAACGTCACTCCATTTCTACCAGTAGAAGCAGCTTTGACCCACGTGATCAAAAAACCCCTCTCTACACTTCACTCTCTACGCAATTCAAATTTTGTACGCTCAACTTTCTTTCGCAATTTTCATTTTATTTTGTAATTATATTCGCAATATACGCATTATTCAAGTAAACAACTGAGCTTTATTGAAGAGTACGCATAACGCCGATACACATTGACTTTTCTTTTCAACACTGAACTTAGCGCACTCTGCTGGTACATATGAAAACTAATTCACGTTCCAATTAAGCATCAGCATAATTCGGCATTGTGCGCCACTGAGTCGCATTATGCTCTGTAATTGGAAACTACTATTGACTTTTTTTTTCAACACTGAACTTAGCGCACTTTGCTGGTGCATTTGAAAACTAATTCGTGTTGCAATCAAGCATCAGTATAATTCGGCATTGTGCGCCACTGAGTCGCATTATGCTCTGTAATTGGAAACTACTATTGACTTTTTTTTTCAACACTGAACTTAGCGCACTTTGCTGGTGCATATGAAAACTAATTCGTGTTGCAATCAAGCATCAGTATAATTCGGCATTGTGCGGCACTGAGTCGCATTATGCTCTGTAATTGGAAAACTATCCTAATTTAAAAAAGGAAGATGAAGATTTGTATTTTATGATACGATTGAATGACTTGTATCCATGGTCAAGAATAATTAAAAAAAAATGACAATTGTCAATTGTAATGTCAGTGTCATTGTCAATGTCGTCAAGTGACAAGGTATGAATGAGCGAGCGAGTTCTCATTTGTGATTATTTTTCGTTCGTGTATATCTCCTCTTCTGCTTACCGATATTCCGCTCCACAGCAAGCAAACACAGAAAAATATACAATAATCGGTAAACAATAAGCAAATTGCATATTAGACTCATACCACAAAATGACTTCTACCGTTCCTGACGACAGAAATGAGGAACGACGTCGTAGAGTAAGTTTTTGGATTTAGATTTGGTCCATTAATTACCTTTATTAATTTGCCTAAAATCCTCTTGTGTGAATCATCGTTGTGAAATATTTGAATATAAATGATGCCCTAGTCTTACTCACCTTAAACTGCCGAAATCGGAATGAAAGTTTCGTTTATAAGAAAATGCGTTGTTTTTATCCGATGTATTGATTAAAATCAACAATACTTAGGTCGAACATGGAATTTTCCAGACATGTAAGGAATCCAGAAAGTTTTGTTTCCACCTATTGACGAACTAGCTGACCATAAATTATAAAACCTAATTGTTTATATAGTCAATTCATTTTAATCTAGGAAGGTTATATTATATCCTACTGTCTCATATTGTAAAATTATATATATACCACCTGCAATATTAAAATAAAAAGAAATCATATATGAAATCTTGGCCAGTAAACTAAATGGCCCTAATCCTCTATAATCTATTTTCCTTTAACTTTTGAAATAAATAAATAAAGTTAAATAAAAGTGTGATTTACATTTAAATATCTCTATCTCAACTATGATATTTATGGAAGGGTTGGTTTAATATGATGCAAGTGTCACAAGCAGGTACCAGTTTAACTATAGAAATCATTGTTACATTAAAAAGATTGCCATACTTAAGGCTTATCATATTATTATTTTCGTCCTACTGTCTAACAATAAGGACAAAAATGCTATTTTGCAGTTCTTAAAGTAAATAACCTTTTTATTTTAAAACTTAATACAAAAGTTTTAAAATAAAAAGGTTATTTTATTCCACTACAAAATAATAGTTAAAGAGTATACATAGTTATTTGTATAATTTCTGGTTTTGCAATGGTTGCCTTTTGGGTAAAAGAACTAGAAGAAGATGGAGGGGCCATCTTCTTCCAGTCCTCTCTTTCTATGCCCTGACACTACCAGTTCCTGCCTGCAATTTCTATTAAATTGTCTGTCCACTGTTTCTTTTGTCTTCCAACTTTTCTTTTTCTCAGTAGACCAGACCACATATCTATACTAAAGTAATAAATGATAAAAAAAACCCAGATAAAAAAGGATGAAACATAATTTTTATCAAACATTTAATGATTTTATCTTTCATATCATCAAAGTTGAAACATTTTCCAATCATATATTTTATCTATTTATGGTTTTATAAAATAACAAAGAAGTGAACTTAAATCTAACTACTACACACTACTCCCAAAGTGGGACAGGTCTATGTCCAGCAGTGGACTGCGAAAGGTCTCGTTGATTGAAATGTTGCTCTGTATTTTCACTTTGTTTTTATAAAAGGTGTTGCTGGGTCCTCTCCCAGCTGGTTTTTTGCGAGCTGACGGCACCACGGACAATGTAGATGCAGACTACCAAGCTGCACTGGCCTTGCAGCAGCAGCTTAGTGGTTCTACTGTAAGTAATTACCAATGCAACTTTTTCTCATTTAGTGGGTCAAAGTTAAAATGTTTATCTAACCTAAAAAAATATTATTATGAATTTCTCAAAATTAGTAATTTCATATCAGAAGTTTAGTGTATAGGTATTTATAATAATATATTGTTATTTAATAGTTGCACTTGCAATGCCTCAGAGTTTGGACAGTCTATAATTTTAACTTTCTTTAATTTTTTATTTCCCTGTACTTTGTGTAAGTTCAAATGATTTATAAATTTTTAAAACAATTATTTTTCGTAGATGCCACCTGCGGGACCACCTCTCACAGCCAGATTGAGTATTACGATTGTTCAAGCCAAACTTGTTAAGAACTATGGTATGTTAAAAATGCAAATTAATATAAAATAATATTACTAAAATTGGAATTATAAAATACTATTGGCATATGTAAAGAATTTTTTTTATTTAGAAATATTCCACCCAGGCCAGGCAGCAGACTGGACTCGAACCCTCACCCTTCGATACCCGGGCGAATGCACTGACCATTATGCTACCGCGGCCCTGATCGCTGTGTCGAATTTTCTCTAACCTTTCTTAAGCTGTAAGGCAGCTCCATTTCTTCGCATTGTAGGTAACTCACAATGTCAAATGAATACCTTTACAATTGTTAAACATTTGAAGGAGGAGTTTTCGATTATAGTTATTTTAGATTTAAACAACTAGCAGTTAAAAAAATAAAAAAAATAACATTGGTACAGTTAATTTTTTTCGCCTACCACCAGTCAGGGCTGCTTTCGGCTGTGAGATTATTTATCGTCCTAATACTGCGGATTCTCTACAAATACAATTATGTGGTTAAAGTTTTATACAACGATTTATTTTCGATGTTTAAAAACGCACAATGTAATAATAACACACAAATAAATAAAATTTGATTACTTTGAATATCTTACTATACTATTAGTTCATAACATATACTGTTATATTATGGATTACCTTGACATAATTTAACTATCAATTTCACTATATAAACATTATACAGATTATAGGACTACTGACATTGAACTTCAATTAATTGATGATTAAATTTAAATATGGATCAAGTAGATCAGTGGTTCTTAACTGGTGGTCCACAGTAAAAGGTTAAAAACTACTGAAGTAGATTTTAGATTTTTTATTTTTTGAAGTAGATGGTCAATCGTACATTATTTGTCCCCTAAATATAAACAATAAGTATAGTTTGTTTCAATTGTTTTGGGACCAAAGGAAAGACGGGGATCAGTCTGAACATAGACAAGTTTAGATAAGGGCAGTTGTAGGGCCCCATCCTAATTAATTATCGATTGTGTGATCATATTCTCTACAATTGATTAAAATAAGGGTAAGGGTAATCATGTAACTTGAAACATTCTTCGATTTTTAATTAGAAATAACACAGTGGTTAGTTATTTCCCAGGATTTCGTAGTTCAAGTGTAACCTGACCTTGGCGAGTTGAATTTTCTAGTAAATAAAATCTTTAGAATATAAATTATTAATAAAGCTGTTTAATGCTTAAGTTAGGTTAAAATATATAAAAAAAAATAACGTCTTCAATAGTGGTGCATATTGCTTAACATAAATTCACATTGTAGTTTGTCGTTAAATTTGTTTTGATGATCCGCCGCATGAATCAGGTTGTGTTCTGACATGATGTTGCCTCAGAACAAGAATTAAAGCATAGGAGAGAGGATAGGAAATTCAACTCAAATAGTCGACTCTTATTCTTAGGATACCTTGGTTACCTTTATGATACCGAATCAAAAATCGATCTTATGTCCAATGCAAGCTGCCAACTAATACTTTTTTGTTGGGTTTGGTGGTAATGCTTTTTAAGAAATATTTTCGTTAATTTATTGTCTAAGGAAGTGTACGCTCCAACGTTATAGCATGACTTCTATGCTTTAGTTATTGTTCTGAGGATGTTGCCTATACTTGTGGCATGATGTTGTCGATGTTTTTCTGACAGGCCTCACCCGCATGGATCCGTATGTCCGCCTCCGTGTAGGACACTGCATCTACGAAACCCACACCGACCCCAGCGGTGGGAAGACGCCCAGATGGAACAAAGTCATCCATTGGTGAGCACGCTACGTTGCATGTGCATTGCTTTATGGTCAAAGTAAAAACGAAAGAGTGGGTTTGAGACATAAGGAATAAAATAATGTATTTCTCCTCCCGCTCGAATTGGAGCGCCCGTCTGATAAAGTAACCGTTATTAAAGTTTCTCTGCGATTTAAGAAAATGAAATGAAAAATGTTGAGACACAAAATCCATCCCAATTCTCTAATTCACTAGTAGGTACATTTTAGTAGATTTAGTAGAGACATTTTTCATACAAAGCCAAAACGATCGAGTTGTTCTAAAGTGATGTTCTTTGTTATGTAGTTATATATCGTACACATGCAAATACCCGGACAATCTTCTAGAGCATCGACCATAGACAAGAAAGCTTAAGCAGTAACAATTTTATATTTAAAAACGTCTACTGCGCAAGTATATTTGTCTGTGGTTTCGATCAAGAAATAAGGATGTACGACATACAAACAAAATTTCAATCATTGACAACGTAAATGAATAACGAATATATGTCGGTTCTGACAACCTTGATTCATCTCAAATAAATAATTAATAAATTTACAAATTATATCAGTTCGTGAACCTAGTAACCTACACCTAAATGAACAATTAAAAACAATATTCGTCTGTAAGTTCACTCACATCTATTGGAAGTAGATATACCTACTTATGACTTTATTTTTAAATGACTAAAATAAAGAGGTTCTTAAATCTTCAGTTATCTGTATATGTACATGTTGTCTAGTATATGTGTTGTCAGTGGGTGGTGGATAGAATAAACTCTAGCGCCGTTACTTTTATCAATACGGTATTTGACAGTATTAAAAATAAAGTGCCAATTGTTAGCATCTGTGTTTAGAATGAATATTGGCAGGGGTTTTTACTATTTTTTACAAAAAAAAATAACAAAACGCTTGGGATTAGCGGAGCCTAAAATGACGTCAAACGAAAGTAAACTTCCGGTTAAAGTGACATTACATTGTATCGTTTGACGTTTTAATAACAGTCGTGTGACGTCACACACTAGTAAGACGCCATATTGTCCAGAGAAACGTTTTCGCGGCAACTTGAAAATGGAGTTTTTGACATGGTTATTTTTACTGAAATACACAACGGAATGATGAATATCCACTTTTTACGGACTCCATAAACATTAGTCAATAACGTGAGATCGTTTTCTAAAACTTGTCAAATACCCTATTACCGACCAATATTGTAATTGTAGGTATATACACACATCAAAAGTGTCTAGGGATCAACATATATTTTTGCAATAACTTTTCTCCTGATTGATATTAATTAAAATTTTCTTTAAGGATTCATCAAATAAAGTGTTTTCGTTTGTCACAGTAACGATAAACCAAGTCACCTTTGCATTAATAAAGAAATTTGCCATTTTCCTAATAAAGGGATTTTTGACATTTGAACCACTAACACAAAAGTTCGAAAAAAAGACTGAAATAACAGTTTTCTCTAAAATTTTATTGGGTAACTTAAACAATTAATAATCCGTATTTCTACCGCGAACACTAACAACACAAGAACATCGGTTTGGCATACTCAAAATGAGTTCATCCAAATCACGCTGTGGAATGGCCGCCCATGTTCGTTGCAACAACAAAAAAAGGTCTTCTTGCGACTGGATACCCTCCATATTCGGCAGAGCTCTTCTCTGTAGCATATCCCATGCATGCTCAATCGGGTTCAAGTCTGGCGACTGAGCAGGCCAGGGCAGGACATTGATGTTAGCTGCGGCGAGAGTCTGTCTTACAACTCTTGCGGTGTGCGGTCGTGCATTATCATGCATTAACTGAAATAAGGGACCGATTTGCACTTGTAGAGGAACGATGACGTCTGATACAATCGTCTCAGCATAAATTTGAGCGTTGAGGTTGCCTCTGATCCAAATCAACTCAGTTCTTCCGCCGATCCAAATACCCGCCCATACCATGATGGTTCCACCACTATAAGGATGGACTTCCTGGCAGGATTTTAATCGCTGTTGGCGTCCAGGGGTTCTCCAGTGTCGTATACGTCTTGTATCTGGTCTCATACCAAAACGAGACTCATCAGAAAAGCACACGAAACGCCATTGTTCTTCTGCCCAATTTCTGTGTTCAAGAGCCCATTGATATCGAATCCTACGATTGTGCATTGCTATAGGTGGTACCCGTAGCGGTCTTCGGGAATGAAGGTTCACTTCATGCAAGCGGTTTCGGACTGTTTGGTCGCTAATTAAGTTCCCTGAAGAGTGATGAAGCCTCACGGCTAACATCATGGCGGTTATTGTTGGAGCTCTTCGAGTTAAGATTTGAATGTATCGGTCTTGTCTCCGTGTGGTGCAGCGATACCGTCCTCCATGGCGCTCAGCCACGGTACCAGTGCTTCGGTATCGTGTCCAAAGTCGACTGATAACACTCTGACTTGTATTCAGAGCTAAAGCCACAGTACGTTGCCGGGAACCAGCTTCTATCATTCCCACGGCTCTGAGCATTTCTTCCCTGCTTAAATGACGTCGCCGCTCCATAATAACGTTGGTTTTAATCAGTAGTAGGGAAACAGTAGCACTAATAATGTCTTCAATGCGTTGTATGTTTTTATAGGGAAAATATTGACAGCTGATTTTCATCTTTTACTCGAATTTGATTCACAGTTCCTGATTCAAATTATGAAATGCACCAAAAAGGATCCATATAAATTTATAAAATCATAAATTTATTACAAAGCCACATCTCAATCTCAAGAAATCCGCATAAAAATGCTTGATCCCTAGACACTTTTGATGTGTGTATGTCGTAGGATGATTAACATACAAGAAATCATACTGTTAACGATTTTTTCGAAACGCTCATAACCCGCAAAACCTAATAGCGTGAACCCAAGAATATTTACAATCGATTCTTTTCACAATCTTAATGAGGTGACTCGCATTTTCGCACAAATCCTATCATAATTTTACGTAAGATTAAAAAATGTCATTGCCATTGTCTAATTATCCGCTTTTTCGCGAATATTCGTTTTATCAAATTATCATAAGAAATATAGCTAAGTAACTTTTCTAACACAACCTTATAATTGTGCAATGTAGGTTCTTAAAATAGGCAATGCGCGAGTGATCCTCTCTGGCTTGTATAACAGGCGTAAGTGAACGTACAGGTTGTAAATAAGGTAGAAAGAAGCCAGATGGACGGCTCCCACAATATCGAAAATAATACAAGGCCTTAATTTACCTCTAATGATTTTGGTTACACGTTGAGACTCAGTGGCAGACGCTGGAATTTGACATAAAATCTCATGTAACAATCTGCTTGAGTCGCAGTTGGCTGTACTCTATTCACGTACGTAACAGTCTTGATGACAATTTAATTCCCAATTTGTTCGCCACAGGATACACACGTGTTTGTAATAATGGCTCCAATACTGTCAAAATATCAAAAAGCTAGTCTAGCAATTACTTTCGCTTCATCAATTAAACAAACAAGGAAATTAAAATTTTAAAATTTTTAGAAACATAAAGTTTAAAAAAAGATAAACGTTACCGAACGACAGCAAAAAGTAACACACCCTTGGAACTTGCACTTCGGTATACTAAAACTTAAGGCTGATTTACACTTTTTTAAGTACAGCAGCGAGTTAACTTTAGGTCTTGTCGAGTTAAGTTCTTATCATTGTTTGAATAGGGATTTGCCGGTTAAGTACATATTTCTAAACTCGCGACTGTGCTTGCCAAAGTGTAAATCAGCCGTTAGGTATACTTAGTCTTAGTTTACTGTAATGCAGATTGTAACAGCAAATCGTGTGTCAAAATGCATCATCTGTGGACAGACATTTTTAAGACTGCGTGAAAATGTATGTAAAATGAACGTCAATATGTGCGTGAACGTGATAGAAATGACGTCTGAGCCGACTGCTTGGGCGTTCAGTATTTTTGTGTTGTTCGTGTAGGCTAAGTGCTACTTGTATAACTATGATATCAAGAACAATAAGGTTGTAACTTTGGCATTACTTTCTTACCACTAAGTAAAATAGCAATAAGTGATGTTTTACATTCATTTCTTGTTTGCAACAGTCTCCTTCCGCCTGGTGTCAACTCGGTGTACCTGGAAATCTTTGACGAATGCTCCTTCACAATGGACGAGCTCATAGCCTGGGCCCACATCACTATTCCACCAGCTGTGCTTAATGTAAGCCAAAGAAAAAATTAAATTGGACTATATCAATATATACTTTATTTGACTACCTTTGTGCGGCAGTTTTATCTGCCACACCAGCCATCCTCACCTTGCTGTTCTGCAAGTTGCTTCTTCACACCTTTTTTAACAATACATTCTATTTGCGGAAATTGTGAGAAAGGAATTAGCCACTTAATCTCTTTATTTGCTTTTCTTTCGCTCGATGTTCAGCTTTTTCTACATTTTCAATTTGAGTGAGGAGCTCGATGGCGCAAGTGATTAGAGCGTTCGACTGCGATCGTTAAAGTTAAGTAACTTTCGCAGTTGTCGGTCATTGGATGTGTGACCAAAAATTTACTATTTCGAGCTCCTCCGTGCTTCGGTAGGCAAGTTAAGCCGTTGGTCTGCAGTCGTTAGCACCCATCAATCCGCACTGGGCCCGCGTGGTGGGTTATGGCCCAATCTCCCTATTCCATCCATAGGGAAGGCCTGTGCCCCAGCAGTTCCGATATTAATAGGCTGATGATGATGATGATGAATTGCTATTTTATTTATTTATCTAATATTTGTTTCAGGGAGAGACTCACGAAGACTGGTATCCTTTGAATGGCAAACAAGGCGACGGTGTTGAAGGCATGATCAACCTCGTGCTAAGCTACTCGGTGAGTACTAACTAATAGGGTATTTGACAAATTTTAGAAAACTATCTCACGTTATTTACTAATGTTTATGGAATCCATAATAATATAATATACTAGCTGTGCCCCGCGGTGTTACCCGCGGCTTATTAGGGAAAATAAATTGTGTATTAACAGTAAAAACAATGACTATTCACATTTTTAGAAGCAAAATAATTTAAACTTAAACATCGGAAAGATCAATTTACAAAATTTGATAACTGACAGAACGGGAGAGATGATTATGCTGTCTTATGTAATTGTTTTTTGTCTCGGGTCGTAGAGCGAGACCTAGAAATCATTTTACTACAGCACATCCCGGTAAACCACAATGCGGGACTTATTGTTTTCTGCGTAAATAAAATGTGTTTCTTGCTCTCGACACACGGGAGCAACCCACGTTCAGTTGTCCGTGGGAAAAGCAGGGGGTGCCCAGGTGAATACCTGCTACTTTTAGAGTTTGTCCTTGACTTTTATTTACTGTAAAAGAGAAAGCCACGTTTATAGGAAATTGTAGGCGCTTGAACTGGAAGGGTAAGTTTGTGGGTATTATAGGGATTCTAGGTATCAATACCGTCTCTCCTTTGGCCCCTCCAATAAGAATGGTGGCCTGGACGATGTGCCGTCTCAGCTCTGTGATGCGTAATCTAGTGCCGTTACACAGTCTGGGCGTCCAGGTTACGTATCAGTATGACAGGCAGACAGACAGCCCTGACAGGTCGAGGGAATTTAAGAATTCTACATGGTATAGGTATTATCCCACAACGCGCGTTTATCACATCTGCCGAGGTACCTCGCTCGATAACCTGTATCGTCTGCCGAAAATCACCTGCCAGCAAGACGACTACATAAAGATTCGATTCGGTCCCATACGATCAATTTGCACCATTGCAATAGAGCACCACGACTACTACTTTTACTGATGTTGCTGGGCGTTTCTTTACTTGCAAGTTTCAGCGGGAGCTTGAATACTGAGTGTCCGGTTCTGCCACCACTCCGCCAGGTTGCGGCTATTCTGGAGGATGCAACAGCCAGCGGAACCACTTTGTCTTTGCACAACTGTGCCAGCAGTAAGTTCATTAAAAAAGTCTTGCCGGTGCCCCCTGGTGCGTCCAAGAAAAAAGACTTTCAGCGCTTCTTTAAAAATTATGTCTAGTGTTATCCCTTGTCGAGGAGCTCGATGGCGCAAGTGGTTAGCGCGTTCAGCTGCGATCGTTGAAGTTAAGCAACTTTCGCAGTGGTCGGTCATTGGATGGGTGACCAAAAATTTACTATCTCGAGCTCCTCCGTGCTTCGGAAGGCACGTTAAGCCGTTGGTCCCGGCTGCATCTGCAGTCGTTAGCACCCACCAATCCGCACTGGGCTCGCGCGGTGGGTCATGGCCCAATCTCCCTATTCCATCCATAGGGATGTAGGCCTGTGACCCAGCAGTGGGGACATTAATAGGCTGATGATGATGATGATCCCTTGGTATCGGCGAGCAATGTCTTCTGATAAAGCGCTTTTTATACTTGTACCACAATTGCCGGGGGTTGGAGAGTCCGCAGGTGCTTATCATAATCGCAAAGAGCTCTCTCAACGTAGTCGCTGACCGGCACAACATTGCGCACTCCATCGTTGCATCCCAGTGGCCGTCGTCTTCAAGCAGCTTCATCGCCTCACATGCTTCTTGAAAAGTGGCCTTTTCCTGCCCATCGACGATTTTGAGCGCTTGAAAACTGGTAGGACCCCGGATTCTAGTAATAGCAACAGCAACCGTACGCAATAGCACTCAATGTGTGTTATGTGTACGGTAAAAATTCTACCGTGGGCATCTAAGGCTTTCACACCAGGCCAACCGTCGACGGGTGCGCCCTGCACGCAACGTTCCATTGTTTTCGTGACGCATTCCACGTGCGAGCATACTCGTCTTCCTGGCACAGTTGCTCGCTCCATACCTTGAATGATTTGACACGGTTTGTCAGTTTCCGCGTCGTCGTCTCCCATAAAATACACCTGTAAAAATTGTGGCTGTTCATTAGGTGATCATCACCCATTTTGTGATGTAGTTAGCCATGCACTGTGAACGTCGGGGAAAATCCAGGCATTGCAAAAAGTACAATGGCAAAATATTTGTTGAAGTAAATCTATAGCGTCTATATCAGAATGTCATTATCAGAAATGTTAATAAAATAATCTCAAAAGATTTATTAAACAATTGAGGAGGGTTGTCTAAGTCTGGAATTAAAAATTTAAAAAAAGGGAAACACAATTGACTATATATTTTTTATTTTTATTGTGGCTTGGCCATGATTGCTTTTGAGCCATTAATTTTAAGTGATTTTAGTGATGAAATCAACTTTAAATATGATGTTCGTATGTTTTGCATCGCTGTACGCTAGAACTGTATTTAATTATCTATCAAAAATATCGGGAAACATTATTTTTCAATATTATACTGAAACCATATTAAATAATCTCTACAGTACAAAAAGAGTATGGCGACAATTCTAACGAAAAAAAATTTTAACTGTCACTGTCATGCTTGTCATCGAATTGTTGATATTGTTATCATTATATAACATTGTTTGTGCTTAGGTGCATACATAATGCAAAGATTTCAATCGGCGTATTGTGTTTTTCTGAGATTTGTTTTTTTGTGTGACTTGGGCTGTATTTGGACTTTCGAAATCTTTCTCTGCGACTGTTGAGTAGTGCTTGCCTAAGACTTCCGAATCTGATATTTTGCTGTGGATTTTGGACACGATTCTGTCCCATACTGTGGATTTTATTTCATTGTATCTACTATCTACGATATTGTGATCAACGATGTGGAATAAAAAATATATAAAATGTGTTGCATATTTAATTAATATCCCATTAGTACATTATTAGAAATCCTTTTTTATACTTTATTATTGCAGTGGACATTTTCAAATTGTTAAGTACTTCTTACAGCACAGACATTGTATTTGAACCCAATAACTCTTGTCTGATAATAAGTATTTTGACGCGGTTGGTCAGTACCTACGCCAAAGAAAGAAAGAAAGCCAACTGATCATACATTGTAAAAAACATTTTTTTTCGTCACTAATCTTCAGGAACGGTATACTTCTATAGTTCCGTTCCACGTATTTTTTATTTTGATATAAAAATACTCTTGAAATAACTTTTATAATTCGTTTTTGCATTACTTGGTAAGACAAAACCGCCAAAACTTCAAAGTAGAATATCTATAAATCCAGACTTCCTATAATATAAGAAAAAAAATGAATCAAATCAAGAATGTAAACTCTATAATTTAACATGCAATTCATTTATAGACGCAAGAAAAAATTTCAACAAAAAATTGTATGGGAGTTCGCCATTGTCCTTTGTCCACCCCGAACGACGACATGTAAAAGCATGGGTTGTACGCAGTTTTAGAACCGTCAAGATTCATCAATTTTAACTGTAAATAATGTATTTAAGGGTTCCACAGGCTCTTCTAAAACAGGAATGGCTACTTTGCCCCCAGAGCAACACATTCCCGCACTTTTCTCATTTCATTTTCACAATGGTGACACACATTTTCCATACGGCAAATTTTAATGACCCTGCTGCTATTGTAATCCAATGTCAAGTCATATTCAAAACCACAGTTTTCAAATAACCCCCAAGCATTTCTGGTAAAATTAAATGTTTGCCGGCACTCTGCTTGATGCTGAGCGACTGCGAGTCGTCTAGAATTTGTCTCATCTACTGTCTCGGAAAGCACGCGGATTAGACATTAGCTGGACATGATTAAGCCTTCGAGAAGTTTCTTCATCAGGTGTTTCAATGGCACGCTGAGTGGACATACGCTGTGCGTTTTCTTGATGCCAAGTAGCTGCTACTTCAGGTGTCTCTAATGCACGCTGATTAGCCATAAGCTGGGCATGCTCTCGCCGTCGAGAAGTTCCTTCATCAGGTGTTTCAATGGCACGCCGAATGGACCACGTTGTGCGTTTTCTTGACGCCGAGTAGCTGCTTCTTCATATGTCTCTAATGCACGCTGATTAGCCATAAACTGGGCATGCTCTCGCCGTCGAGAAGTTGCTTCATAAGGTGCTTGATTGGATCACTGTGTGGCCATGGGCTGTGCGTTTTCTTGACGCGGAAAAGCTGCCTCATCAGTTGTCTCTGATACACACTGAGAAGCTATGCGGATAGGATTTTCCAGACGCCGAGCATCAGCTTGCGCAGAAGTTTCTCCAGTTCTGACTTCTGCCTGACGTGTTGCTTGGTCACGTCTGCGCTGTTCAGTATCATGTAGATTATTGCTATTTTGCAATTTTCATGGATGAAGCTCTTTGTGAGCTCTGTGAACGATTTAGTTTACAATTGGGAGTCATAATTAGATACACAAAAAAAATATATCAATATCGTTGTCCTAGAAATATGTATGAAATATTAATCTATCAAAATAGCTTTGACATGAATGTCATAAAATATGTACCTACTTAAACAAAATTCATTTGCATCGATTTTCCCATCGAAATAAGATATTTTCCCGCAGTAAAATGTAGCCTATGTGTTAATCCAGGGTATCAGCTAACTCCACACCAAATTTTATTAAAATCGTTCCAGCCGTTTAGACGTGAAGAAGTAACAAACATACACACTCACATACTCACAAACTTTCGCCTTTATAATATTAGTGTGATTGTTACGTGTCGGGATGGGGTTCGAATTTATATGCCAGTTCACGCTTGACAGTTCTTTATTCAACACACAGTTCACACAATTAACACCCAATGTTAATTACAAAACACTCACTGAACACTGTATTTCACTATACAAGTCTAAGTCTTATATACGCCGATCGACGCATTCTAGAAAGTACCTGTTAAATTGAGAATTAGCTAGCACCCGCGAGTACTAAGTACCTACTTATACCTAAGCAGGTAACGCGCATAACTTGTAAACAAGTGCAGATGTCGTTGCACTTTCTCCCTTACGCCGCACTGCATAAGGGTCATTTTAAAATGAGCCGCATTACTCGACCTCTATCGCGACCCGCCGTGCTCTGGCACATTCGATCTCTAGCACATTCGCGGTTCTGTTTCGAGAGCGTTTGTGACAATATTAATCATTCTGAACCTAAGCTAGGCACAAGTGGGCGCTCATTAATAAGGTCTCTAGTGGGGGTATTGCACACATCAGCAAATCAATATCATCATCATCATTGGCCTTTTAATGTCCTCACTGTTGGAGCACAGGCCTTCCTTATGGATGCATGGATAGGGAGATTGAGGCATGACCCACCACGCGGGCCCATTGTGGATTGGTGGATACTTACGACTGCACATGCAGCCGGGACTAACGACTTAACGTGTATTCCGATGCAATTTAGTAGCTTAATATGTACCTACAGTTTTTTGGTCACCCATCCAATGACCGGCCATTGAGAAAGTTGCTCAACTTCCACGATCGCAGGCGGAACGCGCTAACCACCCGCGTTGTCGAGCCCCTCATTATGCTGTAAAAATAAAAGTTTCCCCACTTCTTTACCCAGGTCGGTCCAGCTGCCGTAGCCACTTTCCCCCCAGTTCTTGTGGTACCAAGTACCGGCATGGGATACGCGGCGATGCCAATGTACCCACACGTGCCCCATCATCAGCCCGTGCCCCACCCAGCACAGCCCCCGCCCCAGGTCCAGAACCAACCTGTCACCGCTGAACAGCTGCAACAGGTGACTATAGATTATATAAGTGATATTAAATGGTAGGAAAGTCAAAACTGTATATTATATTTTTTTTAAAAGAATACTTGGGGTGTGGTCTGAAGCCAAAAATATAGTTTTTAGAATTTTTGTCTGTTTGTCTGTATGTATGTCCGAAATAAACTCAAAAAGTACTGCATTGATTTACTTCAAATTTGGCTCGAATATTATTAAGAAGTCGGGTCGCTACATATTATCACGCTATCACCTACGGGGAACGAGCAGTGAACAGGGGTCAAAAAGTATGTGCAAATAAGTAACTCCACGCGTACGAAGTCGCGGGCGGCCGCTAGTTATGTTTACAAGCACATATATTGCCCAATAAAAAATAGTGAGTATTGAACCCAATACCTTTTTGTCATTTCAAACCATTTTTTACTGTATTCCTACCTAATAACTAGATAAAGACCTTTAATATTGTGTATAAATTACTTAAAACTGTCTAAATGCTCAAATCGATTTCTGACCTTAGTGCTTGGGTTCACAGTTGAAACTTGCATAACTTTGACATGGTAACGTATATAGCGTACCCTGAGGAGTAATGTATTACTAACTTAACTGTATTCATACCCGTTCACAGATCGAGGAAATGTTCCCGAGCATTGACAAGGAAGTGATAAAATCCGTACTGGAAGCTAACCGCGGAAACAAAGACGCAACCATTAACTCCCTGCTGCAAATGTCCGAGTAAACAGTAGTGGTTAGTTCGGAATAACTGAAAAAAATATCTATTGTATGTATATCTTACTTAGCTTCGTCCGTGGCATTTCAGTTCAATATAGAGCGTCTAGTGCCAACTTTTGAGTTGAAACCATAGAGGTATAAGAATAGAGTGGGGAAGGCGGCTCTAAAAGTGTCCGTCTAGTAGAAACAGAACGAAGATGAGAGATCGCTAGCTATCTCTCTCTCTTGTGACGCATGGCATCCAATGGCATCACATCGGAATAGTAAGATACTTACGGTTGCCCATGCGCATGCGCGATTAGAGAGAGAAAGCTAGCGGTCTCTCATCTTCTTTCTCTTTCTATGAGAAGGACACTTCCACTTGTAGTAGAGTCTATATCTCCCCTACTCTATTCTTATACCTCTATGGTTTTTGACTTGAAACATGTAATCATATAGCATCTGATGAACGCCATCTAGTGGCGAAATATATTACAACTTTACAATGATGACAATGTTTTACGTGCAAGTTGAGAGTCATACTTGGTACACAGGAATGGTGCTAATATTATCAAAACGCATGTATTTTGAAGAATATAATATAAAATGTAATATTCTATTGCTGTGTTAAAGTTTTGTTTAAAATTGTTTCAAATTGTGAATTAAAAATGGTAATCTCGTCCTTTTCTATTTTCATAGGAGTTCATATTTTAAATCGTAAAAGTTCTGAAATTTGTGATTTGGTATACAAAATACAATTATTCCTATAATTGTAGTATTCGATTGAATCTGAAATGTCACACAAATAAAGTTAAACTTGTAATAACATCATTACTGTCTAAAAAGACGGACCGCCATTGGACTGCAGGTATAAATATCATTCAGGATTTATAATAAAAAAATAAAATAAAAATATACCATATATACTGAACCCTAGCCAAATAGGACGTTATTTTCATTATATTTAAAAAGTCAGTGGGAAGCTGTGTAGCTTTTTATTATTGGTTAAGCTAAAGCCGGAATTATATTTATTTGTCGTGTTGTGTCGTGACACCTCAGAGATATATTGGTTTCATACATTTAATGTGGTTAAAATTATATTTGTGTGATGCGATGCATTGACGAAATGTATGAAACCGATACCTCTGACGCGTTACGACACAACACGACAGAAAAATTCTGCTTAACGCTACTCGTAATTAACTGCGTTTTTACACATCGCTTTTTGATGGCAGTCCGTCTATGTGGACTACTATTATAAAGTTAAAATAGTATTAGCTTCAAATTATTCATGTATGAGATACATATGTACAGTTGTTGACACTTATGGGACATCCATCTAATTTCCATCAGAGAGAAGTTTTAAAATCCTCCGGGAGATAGATAGCGAAATTTCATTTATAAGATTTTTATCTAACAATGATTTTTATTTTTAATCTAATTAGAATGGATACTGCAAATATTGTAACTTGAAAAGGTAGAAAAAAATAGAGTTATGGTTTTTTTATAATCGCAGAACAATACTTAAATTTATCAAGGAGTCAAAAGGAAAATTTAAATATATTATTGCTGTCTTGTGGTGCATCTACCTGGTATTTAATGAGTACTATTTTGTCAGCATAAATAACAAAAAAATGCTTTTAAGTATGAAAAAAATCCAAAATAATATATCCCCTTCTTTCTGCCTAACTCGTTTTTATCTCGCTCAATTGTCAAATTACTATGGAGTTTGACAGTTCGACAGGATAACAATCATGATAGAATTTATATTGTAGTGGTTATGCTTCGACTGGATTTTTTTTATTTCAACAGCAATGGGCACTGTAAAACTAAAAAAATATAGTGATTTCTTTCTCTTACATTTTCTTGAAATACTTGTATGACCAAAATATTATGAAATTTTAGTTTTAAGAATAAACACAAAATTTGTGTAATATGTAATTATTATTATTCTAAATAACAAAAATGTTAGTAAGCCAAAATTAAATAAGTATTGAGTTTAATTAATGGTTTTGTTCATTGATATTTTATTTATTATACTTTTGGGTTAGGTTATAGTATATAAGGTGCTTGGAAGAGCTTTTCTTCCAGACGACTATTACAAAGGAGAATTAGGATGATTTAATACCGAGACGCAACGCCTTATTTGCATATGTTTTAAATATTCTTTTCTCAAATAAATATGGACCTTATTAACCTATTAACTACGAAAACTGATGGAATTGTATTAGATCTAGTCTCAGTTTGGCTAAAACGTAACTAATATATAGAATAAAAACGAAAACAGATAATATTCATATGCTACAACAATATACGTCCAAACATCGTCACGCCGCGTCTCAGTATGATCGTACCCGTTATAGTGAAACTTTAACATTACTGCTATGTGTATATGTTTCAAGGCAAAAACTTTGTTTTTGATGTGTAACATCTTTCCTCTCGCTTTCCTGCAATTTGTGGGAGTGATTTCGTGAAATGGGACGGAAGTGTGTAACAGGAAGTCGCGAAAGCGCGCGCTATTTGATTTGATTTTAGAACATAATGTTCAAATTGCTTAGTCCTTTTGTAGTAGGTTTTATTTCTTTGTTTATTAATATAAGGTGAGGTTTCAAATGTTACACATCATACGCGACTACTGCAAGGCTCGCTCGTTTTTTTCTAATCATATGTATTTCTTAGAGTTACCTACTTTCCGTTCATAAATTTTATTTGCTCAAAATTAGTTTCTTTTTAACATTTGTTATGTTATTTTTGTTAATATAATACGATCAATAGTGTAATGAATTAGTAGAATGTAAATTAAAATCAATTTATGTCATTGTATTGTCCTATATAGATTTTTATATGCATTGTTGGCACATTAGATTGAAAACGCTAGAAATCACTTGCATAGTAAATGATGAAAAGTAGATATTTTTAACAGCAAACAAAATGTAATGCTTCTGCGGATTTACACAAATCGCAAAGATGAAATATTTTTTTCACTTTTAATTATTATAAAATTACACTGTTTTTTTTATACCAATGTAGAAATATATACTGCGAAGCTAAATAGTTAAGTTATTTACAACAAAGCATTTATTTACTTACTCTTAAATTGTCTCCATATTCGCTACATACATAGGCAATCGATAACGTATCATTCGTTATTTAATCAGACATCAATCTTATTACAATCGTGTTAAGGGTAATTTTAATGGAATTGGTCTGACGCTTGATGCGTTGTCGATTTTAAATATATTTAGTTAAGTTCGAAGCCGCTGTTTTATAACAATTGAGGGTAACAAGTGAATAGATTTCTTGTCAAGATGCTTGTATCGGCTAAAATTTGTGCCAAATTATTTGCCATCGATACTAAGTTTCGCTTTAAACAAAGTATATTATTGTTGTACCTATTCAACTGTAATTTTACAATGTATAAATAAATTATTAATTATTTAATATTGTATTTTTATTTTCACTAGTTCATTTTAACCAAATATTGAAAATGACAAATTGAGGTCTTTTCAATAAGTATATTACTAGCTGTCGCGATGGCAACACCAGTCGCGATGTTTGAGGTGGCAACATATATCAATTGCCGCTATAATTCTAATGTCAATGTCAAGTAAGCCACTTTTTTCTGTTCTTCTTGTTTGTTGTGATATTTTAACTAACATACTGTGATTACTGTACCTGTATTTAATAACTGTTATGTGCCATGAAAATGTGCTTTCCTGATACGTGCCTATCTACGAGCTCGAGAACCAACGGAACATAACAAAAGCTAAGTAGTAGAATAGTTCACATAAATGATAGCCTGTTTGCATCTCATGAAAAGTTTGTATGTGTGAAAATAAGCGCTTACCTACGCACTTGATATTAACCTATGTACCTGTGTATACCAGCACAGTAAAGGGATACTCTCTCACACGGCGAAAGGGCCGGAGAGTAAGGGCGTGAAACGCCTGTGGCATTGACATAATTATAACAATATGAAAAGAGGAGGGCTTGTGCTTCTGCAGGAGGCAAGTCCTAGGGTACCCTACAGAAAGACCACAAGAGAGAGTTATGGCATGCGCAGCGCTATGTCTGGACGGAGCTGGAATAGTGACTGAGCCAGATGGAAGACGGTCCATAGTATTGCCATATAAGTGGGCGACGCGGCTCGTGCATGTGGGCGCACACATGCATGGGTTGCGTGGGGAGCAGGCGACGGCTTTGGCTCTCATGCTCACACCGCTCTGCAGGAGCGTAGGACATACATGGCAGAAAGTCATGTTAGGAAATCTCCGCATCGTCTAGACAGCTAACGTAGATAGTTGAGTTAACATGGGTAATGGGCATACAGATAATCTTGATACTCATTTATGACAATATTTATGAGTTCTATGAATCCTGGAATCATACCGTTGTGATGGTGTGACTCCGGGACTTAGTGGCACCACGCAGTGGTGTCATAACTTTATTTATACTTACAGATGGAGTAAGAAAGTGATGAGAGGCATGGACGGACATTCGCTGGTGCTTGAAGGTACATACAATATAATCTGTGGTAAGTAATCACCCTTTGGATCTCGATTCTCCTTTGTCACGTATCTATCGTCTAAAATCTCGCGATCCACGGTGGATACGTTTGTATCACGGATATGGGCTGCATGTGGCAGCCCCGTCCCCAAGAGGGTCGCGACACTAGCTGACCCAGCGAACTTCGTACCGCTGGTGGTAGACGGGTGAAAATGATGGCTACCGTTTTTTGTCTCACCAGATGGCGCCACTGTTGAGTGAGGTCCTGAAGTGTAGCTAATAAAGTTTGTTAATACGCGAGTGAAATCAAAGTTTACATTTAAATCATATTTTAATACAAAAGAACTGTATCGTAAACGTTATCGGCCATGTCCCAGTGTTGCGCAGTTCCGTTTTGTTCGGAAAAAAAGAGCACATAAGAATTATCCTTAGCTCCGCTTTCAAATCACTGCCATTCATTGACACGTAACTCGTCTTTGCCATAATTAATTGGAGATGTTTACAACATTATTTTAAAAAGAAATAAACCCGCGTAGTCAGCCCACAAGCAATAACATTTGACATTTCGGAGACCTAACGCTACACAAGCGCCTCTAGCGGATTCATACGCGACAGCCCTCATTTAGGGTTTTATTTATTTTTTAATGCCACTTATAATAAAAAAATTAAAATAAATGTTAAAGTGGACAACCCTTGTCACTTAGGGGTGCATGAAAAATAGATAGTAGCCGATTCCCAGGCCTACTGAATATGCATATAAAATTTCATAAAAATAGGTCGAGCCGTTTCGGAGTACGGTAACTAACACTGTGACACGGGAATTTTACATATAACTATCTCAACATGAAAAAAAATACTAGATTTTGGCATTTTTGATTTTAGTTAGATGGACTATTTTTTGTATCATATAGATATATACAAATTATTTATTTATAACTCTATCGAAGCGAAATAATGAAGACGAATGTTAGGTTTTTTATCTTTATTTCACATCATTTTTTTTCTTTTTCTTCTTATTTGTTCTTCTGCTTTCAGTGGTTTCACTTTATCCGCGATTTGCGATTGTATCTCTTTCATTTTGGCCAGTTTTGCTTTCTTCGCAGCTTTTATTCTACTCTTGCGCATCTCCTCCAAGCTGTTGAAATAAAACATTGTATGATTCTCGATGAGCTCAATGCGATCGTGGAAGTTACGCAACTCGCTCGCAACGGTCGGTCATTGGATGGGTGACCAAAAAATTATAATCTCGAGCTTCACTGTGCTTCGGAAGGCATGTTAAGCCGTTGGTCCCGGCTGCATGTGCAGTATTTGCAGAGCATTTTCGCATTGGTAACGCGTTCTGGGTCATGGCCCATTTTCCCTATTGCATTCCCTAGGAGTGGGGACATTCAAATCAAATCAAATTTATTAAAACATATCATGATCAATCTATGTTAGTAACAATTGTCACTTAAGAAATATTTTAGTCAATGTTACACATAGAGATACTTATTTCAAAAATATTAACAATACAGATAATAATTTTGTTCTTAAGTGATGTATATACTCACTGTGCCTGAAGTAGGATATCCTGTGTTTCAGGCAAAATAGGTTTAATTTTAAAATATTAAATAATCACTACGTACATAATTTACAACTTCAAATCAATAGGGACATATTCAAATCTAAATTTATACAACATTAATAGGCTGATGATGATAAAAATTAAGGGAAGACAACTACTAAAGCCGTGCAAACTGTTTGAGCCGATGCTTCGCTTGCGTTGTTCGAACTCTATGTTTTTAACCCTTATTCAGATGTTTGTGTGATGAATACGAGCATTTTCACTCCAGTCATGAATGTTTAATATGTAGAAATACATATAAATATATATTTATCAGTATATATATATACGTTTGCTATCCGTTACCCTAGTATCCCATAACGCAAGCCTATAGTGTTTACTTTGGAGCTAGGCTAGTTAGTTGGTGTGAGAGTTGGAACTATTTATTTATTTATTTAAGGCACATTTCTTATAGTAAAATTTTCTTTATAATAAGCTTACCCCTCTTGCATAAGGTCCGGATCGACGCCGGCTTGTATCCACCGTTTGAGCCGATAGTTGCGCTTGCGCTGCTCAAACTCTTCGTTGTCTAGTTTGGCCTCTTGCTCACGACGGGTGACGCTTACAGTAGTAAACACTTTTACCGCTTCATCGTCTGTAATATTTATGATCTAATAAGTCCAACTAATATTATAAATGTTAAAAGTTGTATGCTTGTTACTCAATCACACAAAAACTACTGAACGGATCGGGATGAAATTTGATACGTATATAGTTTATGACCTGGATTGAGACATAGGGATGTCAATGAAGACATTGCCAAGCTAGTTGTTGAATGATAATGAAGAGTAAATAAATCAATAAATAATAAGTAATTTAGTTTTTATCACGTTTATCAAAATCGTCGATAATAGTAGTTAAAAAATTAAGCGTCATAAAACGTGATATATATCAATACAATACAAAAACTCTTTATTGTATACCGCGAAAAACATTAAACATTAAGCAAAAAACCATCTATAATACAAATGATGCAATGGGCGGCCTTATCGCTTAAAGCGATCTCTTCCAGGCAACCTTTGGATGGAGAGGATTAGAATTTAGATTAATTTAACTTATATTTTAGATTTGATATTAAAGATTAGAATCATAACTAGGTGCTTATGTTATGGAGGTCTAAGTTGTGTGTCTAAATTAGGTACATAAACAAAATGTCGCATAAAGCGTCGTCCTAATTGGCCACGACCATATGATCTCGACGTGCAATGAAAATAATCGTACGATGGTTGAACATCCTGTCCTTAGTAAATCGCATGATACCCTCGCGCCGCCATCAACATACAAGCTCTGTTTTACAGAGGCTCTTGATGGAGATGAATAGTTTTTGCTATATGGGCAATATTGCTTTGAAAATAGGCTATTTGATAGAGTGAAAAATAATGTACCAATTGTTACCATCTGTGTTTAATATGAATATTAGCAGCGAGCGTTCTGAAAGAACAAAATATTTATAAATTTTCTATATAATCATTAAATAGAAATGATTCTTTTGCTCCATGGTCACGTGACCGAAAACGCCTGGGATTAGCAAAGACTAAAATGACGTCATTGGTAGTATACTTTCGGCCAAAATGACATTTGTATCGTTTGACGTGTTAATGACAGTCGTGTGACGTCACCCTACTGTCCAGAGAAAGTAGCGGAAACTTGATTATTTAAATTTCAATTTCATCATTCTTTAATCAGTGTTGCCTGTCGTTCCATGCCCCACGGGCTGTTGTGCTCGTGCAATGACGCGCGACCAATAGGCTAGTTGACTCATGTCAAATTGCACTTTACAAATGTTTATTTCTTATGTTTGGTATGAGGAACCTAAATACATCGATTTCACTTCATAAAATTAGAAGATCGCTGTAGTAATTTAATTTGAAAAATGTTTTTTTAATCTATGCTTTTAAAACACTCAAAACGCTGTCCACCATGATTGTAACGTTAACAAATTAGTAAATGTGTTAGTAAACAACTAAACTTCATTGTCGTGTTACTGTGGTGTCTTCCGTCGGACTAAAATATATCTAAAAAAACTTACATCTTGCAGAAAATTTTCCGTTTATTGGTTTTGTACAACTTACCATCAATTTTGTACTCTGTGAGTTTGGTCTTGATTTGGTCTTCGATCTTCCCCAAGCGCAGGATGTCGTGAGGAGTGATCAATGAAATAGCCATACCGGATCTTCCGGCGCGAGCTGTACGACCCACTCTGTGAACGAAGGAATTTAATTTAACGTCATTAAATACCCTAGATACACCACGTGCGCTCAAAATGTGTCCGCGTGTGGGTTCAGTCACGCGTGGACCGTTGAAAAATCAAGATGCCGTAGAGCTCCGTGAAAAAAATACTTATAGTACGTAAAGTGTCGTTTTTTCGACAGGTATCTAATCAATGTTTGTTAATTTAACGCATTTCAAGCAAATGTTCTAATACTTTTTAGAAAATGATTTAATAGAAAAAAATGTGATATTTAAATGCATGGTCGGTAATATAGACCTGTCTTTTCCTTGCGGTCGGTAACTGCTATTTTGATAACAGCGCATTCAGAATTGCGCATAGAGTCAAAGAAATATGGTCTATATTCTTCCGCATATAGCAATCAGTAGTAAAATTTTACGAGCTTGCATTTCGAACTGTCATAAATCTTTGACGCATGCATTGTAATTAAGGCCTTATACAGTATGCGTTAAAGGTGACTTTCAATGTTTAAATAATGCTTGATATTGTTTTTAACTACGCGATCATCTAACGGAGCTCCGTGGATCGTCCAATGTACCTTTTGGACAGATTTCGGCCACGATTTTGTTCGTGTTGGTGTATCTAGGGCAGCTATACTCTAAGTGTGTTCCGCGGAACCCTAGGGTTCCGTGATACCTCTGTCGGGGTTCCGCAAGAATTTAGAAATAAAAAAATCAAAACACCTCTCTCTGGTCGCTCCGCGGCTGTGCGGACTCCGCGGCCGCGCGGAGACAAAACGCTATGAATGTTATTTATTTATTTATTTGTATTTGTATAAGCTTGTGTTACATTAGCTGGTACAATATCTCATAAGTTTGGTCTCAACAATTTTATACTTGTACAACGCGTTCGCTCTAAGTTTGCCGGTCTGTGGAATGCGCGTACCCTCCCCCACGTGACAACAAAACTTATAATGTGTCATAGTTTTACCCAAATATCTAACGTACACAATTTTTATTGTTACAATTAAATAAAAAATTTCGAACGTCATACACTCATACCTATCGCCAGCGGCAAACTTAAAACGAGCGGGTAGGTATACTTGTAAGCGCTCAGTCTCTTTGATAAAAGCCGCCTCTGAATTAGACGCTATAGTTGTCAACTAGCGACTTTCGTCTCTAACTTCAAAGGATAAAGTCGATATTGTTTACAACGCTATTTTTAAATTTCTGTTTTTATTTTTGCTTTTTGTTTATCAAAGGTGCCGACTCGAGTATTTTCGAGAATATTTGAGATCGAGTCTAGGACTAAGTATAAAAGCGGCGATCGCGCGTTGGCGTCGTCAGTTGATGATTAGCGTTCGGAGCGATAAGTTACTACCTACTTACAAGCTCGCTAGCGAGAAACTGGTGTTCATTGTTTTACTGCCTGCTGTATTCTGTTGTCTCAGTTTTATACATTTCTTCCCTGTAGGTTCTAAATTTAGTCTCTTATACGCAGTAACGATTGTGCATTATTTAAACCCCACTATCCTGACTTGTAACATTATAAATAAAGAAGAATGGAACGTTGGCTTAAAGGTGTTAAACGTGTTCCAACAACATCTTCTAATGACGCTGAATGTTCAAAAGCAATGCGCGCGGAGAATTTAGCAATCACCGATCCAGAAGATGATGCCACGAGTGCCACGACGTCAAGCTCGACGGTTTCAAAGACGAAAAAAAGGAAGTATGATGAATCTTATATCAGTTTCGGATTTGTTGATTCCAACGGCTCACCTCTCTGCATGCTCTGTAGTAAACTGCTTCCTAATAGTTCCATGGCACCTGCCAAATTGCGTCGACATTTAGAAACCGTACACCCCGAGACTAAAGACAAGAATAAAGAATTTTTTGTTCGCAAAAAAGATCAGTTATTAGAAAGTCAAAAAAATATGATGCATGTAACACAAACTACCAACGAAAAGGCCACGGAGGCATCATACTTAGTTAGCTATCGCATTGCACAAGCAGGTGAAGCGCACACTATCGCTGAGAAATTAATAAAACCATGTGTATTAGACATAACAAAATGTATGCTTGATGAAAAATCTGCAAAGCATCTTTCTACTGTTCCGCTATCAAACGATACTGTTTCACGACGAATCCATGATCTGGCAAGCTACGTCAAACAAGAACTAGTTACACGTCTACAAAATACACGATTCGCTTTGCAAATGGACGAGTCGACTGATGTCGCTGGTTTGGCTATCCTGCTGGTTATTGTGAGATATCCATATAAAAGTTCTTTTGAAGAAGACATGCTTATGTGTTCATCGCTGCTTACAAACACTACCGGGGAAGAAATTTTTAATAAAATAAATATATTTTTTGAAGAACATAATCTCAGTTGGAACAATTGCATTGACATTTGTACAGATGGGGCCAAGGCGATGACAGGTAAAACAGCAGGAGCAGTGTCACGAATGAAAAATAAAGCGCCTAATTGTAGTTCCAGTCATTGTATTCTGCATAGACAAGCACTTGCGATGAAGCAAATGCCGTCTAATCTAAAATTAGTTATGGATGAAGCGGTAAAAATAATTAATTTTATCAAATCACGACCACTACAATCCCGATTGTTCTCATTATTGTGTGAAGATTATGGCAGCAAACATAAAACACTGCTGCTCCATACAGAAGTGCGATGGCTGTCTCGGGGAAAAACTTTAACAAGGCTATTTGAACTTAGAGCCGAGTTACAAATGTTTCTTTCAGCAGATACTTCTTTTAATTTGAAGGACCGTTTGTATGATAAAACTTGGTTGTTCCGATTGTCTTTTATGGCGGATATCTTTCAAAAACTTAACGAATTAAATTTATCATTGCAAGGTAAACAGACAACAGTGTTTCAGGCCTATAATAAAATAACTACTTTTAAAAGAAAATTAGATTTTTGGATCATTTGCATTGGTAAGAAAGAAATAGAAAGTTTTACGTTACTCACTGAGTTTGTTAGCGAAAACGACTCAGAAATGTTTGAAGATAATGTGTTTGAAGAATTGGTCCAATATCTCAGTTCGATGCGCGCATCTTTTGAAAAGTATTTTCCCGAAGAACACAATACAAAAATTAAAGTGAACTCCTGGATTCATAATCCTTTTTTACCCAACTTGGAAAAGCCTGAAAACATGTCAAATGAGATATATGAATCTCTTTTAGAAATGTCATCAGACACAAGTATGGAGTCATTGTTCAAAACGACGCCTCTTAATGATTTTTGGTGCAGAATCCAAGATGAATATGCAATGCTTGGCCAAATGGCTCTGGATATTCTTCTCCCGTTCCCAACTACATATTTGTGCGAAACAGGATTCTCTACCTACGCAGCCACGAAAACAAAATATCGCAATAGACTGGACGCCGAAGCTGATATGAGACTCCAACTTTCTTCCATCAAACCTGATATCAAGCAATTGATGAAAAATAAAAAACAGTTTCATACCTCCCACTAGTTAGATTTTTTCTTTTTTAATGTTTTCTATTATTGTCCTTACCAAGTGGTGAAGTAAATAATAATTAGTAACGGATACATTGTACTTTTATTATGCTGATTAATATAGAATACACTTATAAAAATAATTGTTTTATTGTAGGGTTCCATCAAGTATTTTGCTTCCCAAAAGGGTTCCGTCATTTAAAAAGTTTGAGAACCACTGATCTAGGGTATTTAATATCGTTGGTTTAATGTCAAAATTAGAGACTGAAATTGACCCTTGTCCTTCAAGGATCTCGATCCATCGACCATTCTTGATATCAACCAAGACAGCGGGCGGTAAAGACTACAGAACACAGAAAGAGGTTTGAACGGTGATCATAGACCGTTTATACGGGAACAAGCGCGAGAAATAAACAGTGTAGTCTAAGCAGGTTGCCTGCTTTTTCTCGCGCTTTGTTTTCTGAGTCTGAATCTGAATCAGGAGTGCACTCTGGCCGTACACTTCGACTACACTGTTTATTTCTCGCGCTTGTTTTCGGAATCTGAATCTGAGTGCACTCTGGCCGTACCCAAAGCTATTAAACAGGTGAGTTTTCTACTTACCTATGAACATACTCCTTGGGCTCCAGGGGTAGTTTGTGATTGACTACCAGATCAACAGTTGGAATATCAAGTCCTCTTGCAGCTACATTGGTGGCTACTAGAGTGCACTTGAGGTTGCTTCTGAACTGAGTTAAGGCAGCCACTCTCTCCCTCTGCCTCATGAAGCCATGGAGGCAAACGTTGTCCATGCTGATTGCGTTCAGCATCATGGAAAGCACTTGGCATTCTCTGAGGATTTCAAAGAAGAAATAATTTCAATAAAGAATTATTTTGTTGCCTTCCTTTATATCCCACAAATCTTTTGTTTTGTTTGTTTAGAGGAGCTCGATGGCGCAGGTGGTTACCGCGTTCGGCTGCGATCATTGAAGTTAAGCAACTTTCGCAGTGGTCGGTCATTGGATGGGTGACCAAAAATCATCTATCTCGAGTTCCTCCGCGCTTCGGAAGGCACGTTAAGCCGTTGGTCCCGGCTGCATCTGCAGTCGTTAGCAACCGCCAATCCGCACTGGACCCGTGTGGTGGGTCATGGTCAGATCTCCCTATTCCATCCATAGGGAAGGCCTGCGCCTGAATATCCCTCAAATCTTTTAAAAGGTAAATGACGATTTCTGGGGTAACTACAACTCAAACTATCTGTATTCTGTATAAAAAAAAAACATTTTAATCAGTTCAACAGTGTAAGCATGTGAAGTAAATAGATAGGCAGACACACTTTCACATTTATAACATACTAGTGGTCCACCCTCGCTTCGCTTCGGTGCACTACGACTATAGTTTTTGTTCTTATATATAGCGGTTCAGTAAAGTACAGGAAAGCGAGAGGAAAGTTGTTACACATCAAAAAAAAAATAGTGTTCACGGACCACACATCTGAAGTGAAACTCCTTTTCTTAATTAACCTAATATTAGGCGGTGCTTAAGGCATAGGGGAATGGAGCAGCGCACGCATCACTCATATTTGTATATATATATATATATATATAAATTGTCGCGTGTGACGCTCGTGATGCTCGTAGCGTTTCAGCCTTCGCCTTTACTCTCCAACCTTCAAGCTCGTCAGGAAGAGCTGCGCGCGCACGCATCCCACACACACATACATATATAGTCGTGTGACGCTCGGGACCCATTTCCGTTTCATCTTTTCCAAAGCACTTTTCCATTTACAACCCGTCCGAAAAGAAGTTGCGCTTCAGTTCCCTTAGTAGGAGTTTTACAATTACGAAAACTATGATAGTTTTCGTGAGCTCGCACTCGTACTAAGGGTACTGATTTGATTGTTTTCGTTTCAATCCAAATAAACAGTTTTAAATTCTTTTTTATTTTAAGTATATTTGGTTACTTTTCACCTAAATGGACATAGTAACAAAATTTACAATTACGAAAACTATGATAGTTTTCGTGAGCTCAAACTCGTACTAAGGGACTACAGAACTAATTTACAAGGTGTAATAATATTTTGCTCACTTCTTAGTATCAGTGAAGACGATGATGTGCGAACTGGGCTTAGTCTCGCGGTACTTGCGCAGAGTCTGCACGAGGTACACGTCACGCGCGTACGCCGGACATACCACATAGCGCTGGTCCAGTGTCGACACTGTGAGCTGCGGGTCTGACTCTGTCCACACTGTCAGTTTCTGAGACGGAATAGAACCAATTAATAAATAAGGGGGCGTCCATAAATTACGTGAGATATTTAAGTTACGTTTAATTAATGTTTTGCGGGGGTCGAGTCAAATCTCATCTAAGGGGCCATCCATAAATTACGTCACACTTTAAGGGGTAGGGACGGGGTCGACGAAATGTGACATCGTGTGACAAGGGGTGGGAGGGGTCCTAAATTTCGTGACGTCACATTTCAAAATATATTAAAATCTAAGTGTTGAAACTATTACTTTACGAAAGCATTAACAACCCCAACGAGAACAAAGTGGTGCTATGCCAGTTATAAATAATTTAAAGGAGTGGGATCAATGTCCATGGACTCAAGATTATTAAGTTTGTATCTTTAATTTAATTATAATGCTATTAATATTTTTTGTTTTGTTAATTTCTTTAATTAACATAGTCAATCACTTTTTGTTCGGTAATTTCTTTAATAAATATAATTAATCGTTTTTTTTTGTTTTGTTAATTGGGTCGATCAACTTTTTATTGCTACATTGCCCAAAATAGTGTTTTTTTATTTTTTTCGTAAAGAGTTACTTTTTTAAATTTCATATAATAGATGATTTAATAATTTTTATGGTCCGGTAACGGGCAATGACGTTTTCTTAAATTACAAAAATTTAGAGGAAATATATCCATCAACCTCAGCAAAATCCGTCCCTTGGACCACTAACAATATAGATTTTTTAAATAACTCAACTAACAATAATAATTAAAGAAAATCCATTTTTTTATTATATTGTAACATTGTCTCTACATTTTAATATTCATTTAAATAAAATAACGTATAATTTATTTAATATTCGACTACTAATGATCCGTTGTCCAGGGGATCTTTTTTGCGTAATGAAACTTTCCTATAAAACTGAAAATAATGGTAATAAATGCAACATTATACCACGGACCGTTTAGTTTAATTTGTACTTTCTATCCTTCTAATAAACATAAATAATTTTATAATTTAAAGCCAAAAAATCAAATAAGAACTGATTTTCAATGTGGGGACAACTTGGTTGCCCAATGGACATTAACAGTTGTCCAAAGGAAATACTTCGACTTAAAAAGCATATTTTAGTGTTTTATTTTTAAATAATAAAAAAAATATAAATAAAGGTAAAAAAAATATTCAAATTCTTATGGTCTTACGACGTAGAACGGTCTTTATTTTGTTAAATTGAAATAAGAACTTTTTATTCCTGGATTTTCAGACTTAAAAGCTTTAAAAAGATTTTTCATAGACTCCAAAAGAAACCGTTTTTGCATCTTCATTTTGCCTTTAGTGACAGTTTCTTTTTTACCAGCGGTATTCCTTTTTTTGAGAGTTCTGTATGTCCATGGCGCGTTGTTGTTTTTGCCCTGACTTGATATTTTAAATCTAAGCTCTCTTTCATGATTTTATTTTTTTGCGCTGTATCCATGTTATCAAACATATTCTTTCACTCAGTTTTCGCTCATCTGTCTTTAGTTTTCTTTTAGTTTTCTTTGATAGCATTAGTCAATATATTATATTTATAGACTACCTCGCAATCTACCTTAGGATTATTCTCTTTAGGTTTTAAATTCTCTTTCACCTGAACTAATTCTTTCTTCTTACGATTAGCTCTCTTTTTAAATTTTTCGTATTTTTTCTTCCACATCTTTGCTTCAATTCGTAGTTTCAAATTTTCTCTTTACAATTAGATCTATCTCTGCGTTTTTTTTCTTCCTCTTTCTTTACATTCAGGATCCAACGTAACAGCAGGAGAAGGAGGCGGTGTGACTGCTTGTTGTTCTTGCGGTATATCAAATTCCTCCAATTTTTTTGGGTTTTCCTACCTTTCCTCCAAAATATTCGGAAAACTTGCGGGTGTATTGAAAAATACATCTCGTACTACTTGCATTCATTTCCTCTGCTCCTGTTTACGCAATTTCCAAATAATTCTGCATTCTTTTGCTCCTCAGGCTGCATACTTGAAATTAACTTTTTGTGTTTATGATAGCTTTCTCAGTTCTTTCTCTTCCTTTCAGCTAATTTTTATAGGCACGCTTTAAGCCTCTCTCTGTATCGTCACGACTTTTCTTTCTCCGAAAATCCCATTTTCAAAAAAAAAATTCAGCACTTGGCATTCAAGACCACACCGAGGCATCTAGTCCCAAACTAAGCCGAAGCTTGTACTATACTATGGGTACTAAACATCTGATGAACTCAGATACATGTTCATTAACACAAAAGTTACTGTGCGGGATTCAAACCCACTGCCCTCTTGGTGTAGAAGCAATAGTCACAACCAATGCACGAATAAATATTTAATTTATAGATGTTTATCATCAAAATAATATTATTTGTCCTAAGGACAACCAAAATGTCCTACGGACCACCAATTTCGTTGTCCAAGTGACTGGTTGTCCGTAAGACGTTTTATAAACTTTTGGCTTCCTATTAAATAATAACGTTTTATTGCCTCTCACAGTAAAATCTAGCTGACACAACATCTAGTACAATATAGTTAATTGTTAAATATTGAGTACTTATGGAATTCTGACGGTTGTCCGCTGGAACGACAATAAGAACACGCACTTTCACTTACGGAACTCGCCCGACTGACGCCACGCCTTTGTTGAAATAAAAATGGCGGTAGGACGCGACATCTTCTTAGAGAGACGGCCTTGTTGCTAACGTACTCAGCCGCCATCTATGTTTTTTTCGCATACTAAATTAGCGGTGGTCCAGGTGACGTTAGCTAAGCAAACATTTTTGGGGACACAAGTAAAATAAAATAGTTTGGTAATTTTTATTAACCTTAATAAATACCAATATGTTTTATTAACAGAGTACATACTTGAAAGTGATTTTTTTCAATTACTGAGAATTGTTTCATAGAGTTTTTTTTCGTAATGGAAATAGTTTTGATGACCTGTTTCCGGAGGACATTCCGTGATATCACGAAATGATCGATTTGTCTTTAGGACAACCATAAGAGATTGTTTAGTTTGAACCAAAACTCAATATTTCTTTGATTATATGTTTGTAAATGTTTCTAGGAATATATAAATTATGATTTTAGCGTATATTTTTTGGTAGATTTTGTATTATGCTTATGGGACAGGAAAAGGGTAACATCGAGCAAGGAATAGTTGATTGACCCAATTGTTTGATTTGATTATAATAATAATGAAAAAACAATTTAAATGGAAATAAAACTGATTACAGAACCGTTGTTTTCATTCAATGATTTCTAAATGTAAATTTGCAAAATATGTGACGTCACACTAGGGAGGGGGGGAATCTTACAAATGTGACCAGCTGTGACAAGGACGGGGGGAGGCGCAAAAAAGACATGAAATTCGTGTGACGTAATTTATGGATGACCCCTAATCTTACATTATAGAGAGGGGGGGGGGGTCTCGGCAAATATCACGCAATTTTTTTTTCTGATTGAAACAAAAATAAGTCATCTATTTTGGTCCATTTAATCCAGATTGTACATGCTTAAGATTTAATCTTAAACGTAATAGTAATACTTACGATTTAACTTTTTTTTTCTTTTTACAATAACAATCCAACGCGGTTACATACGAAACCCACATATCGAAAAATTTCACGTGAGATTAGGGGATGGAGGAGGGAGTTGAATAAAATCTCACAACATCTCACCAGGGAGGGGGAGAGGTACAGAAAATTCAAAAAAACACCTCACGTAATTTATGGATACTACGATCGTGGAAATTAAACAACTTTTTCAAAAGGTGGGTGTCTAAAAACTTATTATCTCAAGCTCCCAGCCCTAGCTGCATCTGCAGTCGTTAGCACATACCAATCCACGTTCGTCTTCAATCTTCGTGGTGGGTCGTAGCCCAATCTACCTATTCCATCCATTGGGAAGGCCTGTGCCCAAGCAGTAAAAACAATAAGGTTGCCTGTAAGCTGGAGTTGAGCGATGCTGCGGAGCTGAGGAACGGAGAAATATTAACCAAAAGGATGCACAAAATCTCTGCTTCTCTCCAGTAAACAGATTTGGTGCAATCTGATTAGTTAATATTTCTCTGTTTCTCCACAGCCTGCTCTGCTTCAATGGACAGACCGCCTAATAGGCTGGTAATGATGATGAGGTTTAAAGATTAGTTTTTACTAAAAAAGTCCCTCTCAGTCCACTTGACAAAATTCAAACCTGCACCCTCGGGTATTATTTATTACTACAAAAATAAATCTCTATTTTTATTTTCTCCACATCTGTGAGTATTTTATCAGTTTAGAATATAGTCTCATTAAATTTCAATATATTTTGATAAGTCAATAATACCTCTTTGTTTAGTGGTAGCAACTTGGATTCTCTCACATCTTCTGTAATAGTGGCAGAAAATAGCAAATTCTGCCTCTTCTGGGGCAGTGCATTGAATATTGTTTCCAAATCTTCTTGGAACGATTCACAGAACAATCTGTAAAAGTAATGTAAATATTAAATATAACTAGAAAAAATTATAACTATAATTGCTATTTCTTCTTTCAAATGTTTAATACTTGTAAAAGTATTCATTTGACATTGTGGGTTTACCTATAATGCGAAGAGATGGCGCTGCCTTGCAGCTTAAGAATAGCTAGAAAGAATTTCGACGCGGTCCGTGAGGGCCGCGGTAGCATAATTGGTCAGTGCATTCGCCCGGATTGCGAAGGGTGCGGGTTCGAGTCCCGTCTGCTGCCTGGTCCGCTAATTGCTATTTCTTCTTTCAAATGTTTAATACTTGTAAAAGTATTCATTTGACATTGTGGGTTTACCTATAATGCGAAGAGATGGCGCTGCCTTGCAGCTTAAGAATAGCTAGAAAGAATTTCGACGCGGTCCGTGAGGGCCGCGGTAGCATAATTGGTCAGTGCATTCGCCCGGATTGCGAAGGGTGCGGGTTCGAGTCCCGTCTGCTGCCTGGTCTGCGTGGAATTTTTTCTAGTTATATTTTCTTTAGATTTAAACATCAAGCAGTTACATGCTTTAAAAATAATAAAAATTATAACTATAATTGCTATTTCTTCTTTCAAATGTTTAATACTTGTAAAAGTATTCATTTGACATTGTGGGTTTACCTATAATGCGAAGAGATGGCGCTGCCTTGCAGCTTAAGAATAGCTAGAAAGAATTTCGACGCGGTCCGTGAGGGCCGCGGTAGCATAATTGGTCAGTGCATTCGCCCGGATTGCGAAGGGTGCGGGTTCGAGTCCCGTCTGCTGCCTGGTCTGCGTGGAATTTTTTCTAGTTATATTTTCTTTAGATTTAAACATCAAGCAGTTACATGCTTTAAAAATAATAAAAATTATAACTATAATTGCTATTTCTTCTTTCAAATGTTTAATACTTGTAAAAGTATTCATTTGACATTGTGGGTTTACCTATAATGCGAAGAGATGGCGCTGCCTTGCAGCTTAAGAATAGCTAGAAAGAATTTCGACGCGGTCCGTGAGGGCCGCGGTAGCATAATTGGTCAGTGCATTCGCCCGGATTGCGAAGGGTGCGGGTTCGAGTCCCGTCTGCTGCCTGGTCTGCGTGGAATTTTTTCTAGTTATATTTTCTTTAGATTTAAACATCAAGCAGTTACATGCTTTAAAAATAATAAAAATTATAACTATAATTGCTATTTCTTCTTTCAAATGTTTAATACTTGTAAAAGTATTCATTTGACATTGTGGGTTTACCTATAATGCGAAGAGATGGCGCTGCCTTGCAGCTTAAGAATAGCTAGAAAGAATTTCGACGCGGTCCGTGAGGGCCGCGGTAGCATAATTGGTCAGTGCATTCGCCCGGATTGCGAAGGGTGCGGGTTCGAGTCCCGTCTGCTGCCTGGTCTGCGTGGAATTTTTTCTAGTTTTTTTCTAGTTATATTTTCTTTAGATTTAAACATCAAGCAGTTACATGCTTTAAAAATAATAAAAATTATAATGTAAATATTAACAAATCAAATACCCATTGTAAGGTAAAAAAATTAAAAAAACTGTGTAACTATTTATCTAGTTAGTTATTTCAAAAAAGAAAGAAAAAGGCTGGAGGTGGTGGCCGGTTAATGGTAGCCGATTTTAGCTTCTCAGCTTCTATTTAAAGTGAGAGTTGTAACGGGCGCCGGGAAGCTGGTGACATCTCCAGGTGTCCGGAATAACTTACGGGAACATCAGCTTTAATCTCAAGGCCAGTTTTGACTAGGGTTGAATGATAAAGGCGTCTTCCTCCTCAATTATTTATTGTGAAAGAGTACATACCAGATTGGATTTCGGCGTCAAAGTACATTATGTATTGGATTTACTTAGACTATTATGGCTGGTCCATGGTCAAAGATATCAAAATGACATTTATAAAGATATCATTAAAATTAAAGATGAAGCTAAAGAAATTAAGGATTATAAAGATTATAAAGACCAGTTAAAGAGCTGAAACAAAAGAGACATTTGTGAGACCAGGCAACATGGCTAGATATATGTATAACAATTTTAATCTTAATTCTTACCTGCAATCGCAGCTCTTTTAAAGTTTTACCAAAGGGCCATTGGCACCAATATTAGTTTGCAAAAATGCGATGAGCGCATTTTTGGAAAAAGAAACCGAACTATAAATTATTATTATATTCCACATTTTTAAAAAGTGACTGTTCGTCTTTGCAAAGAATCGAAAAGTAATGTTGCCAGGTCGCACTTCCAAAAACGCCGCGAGTCTCAGTGTTGGCGCATTAAAATTTAAATTTGGGCATGGACAAACCATAAATTACAAAAGTTTACTTAAATTTAGAATGACAATTATTACGTATTTATTTTAATGTTTTATAAAATTAAGACAATTTTTAAAGATGTGTTTCGTTTATTAAAAAAATAGGGAAAATCCTTAAGTGACGGACGTCAAACCATATATTATTTATTTATGTATGTGACGGCGTAGATACGACGTTTCAATTCCCCCCCACTAGATTTTATAAAAATAACAGAATGTTATTTTTATAACATTCAACTACACCTAACAGTAAAGAAAGAGGAAAGAAAAAAAATGATTACTTTATAATAATCTTATAAAATTTCCATTGACTGGCATGCAACTGGTTAAATATGGTCGGCACACTCGCCCCATATAAAACAACAAGTCAATTTAAATATGAAAACAAAAGTTATATTAAAATTAATTTATTGCAGAAAATATTCCAATATAAGGATTTCTTGTTATGCATTGAAACGCTTCTGGTTTAGAGTAGTCAGCACCATCGCCTTACACTAAACATTCGAATACAAACAATATTCCTAATAAAATAAACTTTATGAAAGTTTCAAATTCTTAACACATAAATGTGTGGAATAGGAAAGAGAAAAAAAAATGTTCTACCGATTCAACCGATTTAGAGTAGTCGGCACCCTCGCCTTACACTAAATTATCGAGCAGAAACAAAATTACCAAACACAATAATAATCGAGTTGGAAAAATAAGTATTGTGTTACCAAATACTACTGATTCAATGCAGTCGGCACCTTCGCCCTACATAGAATGATCAAGTAACTACAAAATTAAATGCAATCTAATACAAAATGAATGCATTTCAAAATACAAAAGGAATGCACTACAAAAGAATGAATGCATCACAAAATTAATGCACTATCGAATACCACTGATTCAATGTAGTCGGCTCCTTCGCCCTACATAGAATAATCGCATAGCTGCATAAAGAAAACAGAACGAGTTATCTATAAAACACCGTCTGGGAAAATGGAAAAAAACAGAACGAGTTATTAATGAAACACCGTCTGGGAAAATGGAAATATAAACAGAACGAGTTATTAATAAAAACATCGTCTGGGAAAATAGTATGTCAGTCATAAGACTAACATTACGATTTTTTTCCAGCAAAGCTGTAGGAAAAACACAGAACATTCTAATGATGTCTAGCAAACCTATAAAATAAATTGCACCAAATCAAGTATGAACTTGATGGAAAAGGGAAAAAGGGGACACCTAAAGGTGTAAAAGTACAGATCGAGGAAAGTCGACTGGGAAAAAGTAAAACGGGAAAGTCCGTCTAAAAGTCGCGTCCGTGTAATAATAGTTCTTAAGACTACAGACTAAACACAAACACCTAAACAAACTTTACAAAATAGTAAATTAAATAGTAATTTCTACACTTCAACTATTTATACAAACGAAATAAACATTATTACGTTATTAGTAGACTATTGTGGAAGAACAACAGAAGCTAATAAGGAATAAACGTGGAAACAAGGAACTCTAATCCATTAAACTCGTTAATGAATAAAGACCAGAAATAAATTATTAAGGATCTCCAAAAGTTTATAAGTCTTTAATGATAAAACGTATAAGACTTGGAAATTTAAAAACAAAAGGTTATCTATATAAATCCTCAAAAATATGAGATCTTATAAAAATAAGAAGACCCCAAAACAAACTAAGATAAGATAAGATCCTATGATGCTAGAAGCAAAATCAAATTCTTCAAAAAGAGTTAAAACATCTAATTGCCAGATAGAATATTATTAAATTAATTTAATTACCAAAACATGCCTAATAAAATGATACCAATTCAATTTTTAAAACCGAGATTCTATTTCTCCGCTTTAGGAATCCTCATACATCACCATTCAATCTACCCCAACCTTTTATTCATCCCTCATTCATCACCTTGCAAAGGGGTCGTTTCCAAAACGCAAGTGAAAAGAACCAAAGTGAAATTTAGAAAGTGAAACTGTAAATGAAAACTATCAAAATGAACAAAATGCCTAATTATCTAAGTTATATTTTCAAAATATCTTTAATGTGGTATCTACCAGTACTATTTTTATCAAAATCTTTTAATAAATAAACATTATTTGAAATTTGTCAATTATTTTGCACTTAACAAATTTAGGTGCTAACTTTGAAGAAAAGAAATGAATTGCGTTGGATTGTACAAAGTTTCGCCTCCATACAATATCTCCAACGTCATAGGAAATGACTTTTCGATTCGAATTATAAAATTTAGCATTCTTTTTATAAGATTTTGCTAAATTATCAACAACTTTAATAAAAATATCTTTAAGTGAATCTAACAAATTACCATAACCGTCAGGTTTCTCAATATTAATATCAAACAAGTCATCTATAGAAGAATATCTATGCAAGGACCCATTCAACACAACTTCACGACCGAACATAAGAAAGTTTGGAGTAAAACTAGCAGCGTTGCCAGAACGTCCCAAAAGGGACGATTTTCGTCCCTTTTGTCATCAAAGCGTCCCTTCGATGTCCTTTTACATATTCCGTCCCTTTTTCCGTCCGTTTTAAATAACGCTCCACTGCAACATTAGACGAATGCATTTCGTTTCAATCATTGATTTATTTCACTAAGTTGCAATCACAATACGTTGTAGATTGTCAACTTTGTTCGTCAAATCACCAAGTAAACTACATCGAATCCAACGCTCGCTATGCCTACGTTTAATATATACCTACGCAATGCTCAAACCCACCTACCATTATCTTACCTTATAAAAACTTTTGTTTTTGAGGTATGTTTCAATTATGAATATAATAACTTAGGAATAAGTGCTTACTTTGTAAAGTCTGTGATACGTTCATACCACCATGCTGTACCTACAACATTGTGGATAGTCCTCCGTACCATCTTCTTTATTTTATTGTGTGCCCAAAAAAATATAACTAAAATGGCCGTTTTTTTTATTTAAATGTATTATGACAGAACTACACTTATTTGTCGTGTTTGTTTTAATGCATCAGAGAGCTATCTGTTTCATAAATTTAATATGGTTAAAGTGAGATCAAGATTAAGAACAGTAATGACAAAATCAAAATGACATGGAATATTATAAACAATGAAACGAGAAAATCCAAAACCCGCAATAATAATTATAACTTAAATATTGTTAATAAAAAGGTTACATCAGATACTGAAGTTGCTACAGCATTCGAAAATTTCTTTACTGATATTCCAGTTTCAACGACTAAATCTTTGAACTCTTCCCCCGTTGCTGCCGAATCAATTTTAAGAGAAAACGTGAACACTTCTACTAGCCATTTTCATTTTAAACATGTTGACTTTAAATATGTAATAAAAACGTTTAACCAATTAAATCTTTTTATTTAATTATAAAACGCCGGATCTATGTCGATGTTATCGTTCAACAACCGATGCCGATGATGAACTTATACAAGAAATTTTTAACGCCTTAGAGAACTCGCGGGACGCTCTAGATGTGTTTTGCAACTTGTCCAAGGCTTTTGATTGCGTTTTTCATGAAACATTACTTACAAACTCCACCACTATGAATTAAGAGATACCGATCTGGATCTTATTGAATCATAACTGAGGGATAGGATTTAGAGGGTTGACATTAATGGCAATAAGTCTCAGGGTTCGCCGGTTAACTTGGGTGTTCCGCAGGGCTCAATCCTTGGTCCTTTCTTATTTTTTTATATATTAATAACCTTACTATGAAAGAGATAAACATGAGATTGTTTGCGGATGATACATCACTTTTATTTTAACTCAAACGCAAGGAAACAATTATTGATGACGTGAACAGTTGTATTTCTAAGGTAGTCCACTGGTTCAATGTTAATAATTTATTACTTAAGGATGGAAAAACGAAATGTATTAACTTATGTAAAACAGGTAAAAACCAGTGTGACTGTAAATGTGGGCCTTGTAGATTACCACATGTATTAGACCACAGTATTCTTAGGGATTACTGTAGATTCTAAGCTTCAATGGGACCCACATTTTGATAAATTGTCAAATAGACTTAGCTCTGCAGCATAATGCTGTAACGAAGATATGCCAGTTAACGGATGTAGATACGGCCAGATTAGTGTACTTGAGTTATTTCTATAGTCTAATGTTGTATGGAATTTTGTTGTGGGGAAACGCCGCCGACTATTTTTGTGCTACAGAAGAGAGCTATTCAATCAATTTATAATCTTAAAGTTAAAGAATCTGTAAGAGATAAGTTTAAAGAATTTGGCATAATGACGGTCGCATCACAATACATATACGAAAATTTATTACTCGTAAAATAAATAATTTGTGTTTTAAAAACAACGATGTTCACACACTTAATACAACTAACTTTACCTGCTACTAGGCTTCACAAAATCAATAATTCATTTATAGGTCTTTGTGATTGCTTATACAATAAAATCCCAAGCAATATCCAAGAGTTAACCATATATAAATTCAGGATAGTATAAAAAAGTAGTTAGGTACTATAAAAGCTTATTACAAAGTGTCTGCTAATATTACAGACAAAAATGGTTGGGTATGAACTGTTCCAATCATTCCAACAGCTTTTCTATATTAAATAAATCATGATTGTATTGACATTGTAACAACATAATGATTTGTAAATGTTGTTACATTATACTTTTAATGTTGTGGAGTTTTTTTTGCTCGCTCGTTTTTCTCCGCAGCTAAAAAATTTGTCCAATAACGAGTGGTAGGGAAAAAAATTTGGACGATATAAAAGAGTTCTACTATACATCCAATTTGAATAAAGATATATTGATTTCTGAACGCTGTCGAGACATCGCGACACACAAATATAGTTCTAACCGTACTAAATGTATGAAGCAGATTGCGTCACAACACAACACGTAAGATAAATATATTTCTGCAGGCCCGTCCTTTTTGTCTAAAAATCGTCCCTTTTCAGATTCCGAATAGTCCGAAACACGACGCAGGTACTGGCAACACTGAAAACTAGTAACCAAATTAACAGTACTATTAATAGCACTTTGAACATGGGGAATGAACTTAGACCATGTTCTATGATCATTTGCAACATAACATGAAATACAGGTTTCTATTGTCTTATTGAATGAAGTTCCTGCCATGATTTTATCAGTTTGACACTCCTTATCCGTCATAGTGTAAGATTCTTATAAGACTTAAGTTATTTTCTCTATTTCACAGAAAAATATTAAACTATATTGTAAGTTTAACAAAACTACCAAGTTGTAATGCTTTCCAATAAATTTAAGTTGTTTTTATAAAACTGACATTAATTTAAGGTTACATTCCAATAATTTTATCAATTATTCAATAAAAATAAGAATTACCAAGAACTAATTCTTGTAAACAAACACTTTATGCAATAAAAGTTATCTCATATCATTGTATACCAAGATTTGCAATGAAAGTTTAAGTGGAAATTTATTGACAAATTGAAAAGTTAAATGCAATGTTTATGGAAACTTACAGTTAAATTAAACAATAACAGTTATTCAGGAATATGAATTAACCAGTATAATATCAGAATTAACCTGATACTATATCAAAACATTTGAACTTCAATGTACAAAACTTAAGTTTGACATGTAATAAAACTTGTTATGTATTGTTGTTGTAAAAAAAAAGTTAATTTTGCATTATCAATTGCATAGAAAACTGATTAATAGACACTGTGCATAAGTGATTAACAACAGGATTAAACACTTAGTAATAAACACATGTACTTACTTGAACTTATATTAAGTTTACACAATTCTGTAAATGATAGGTTAACACAAGTAAATTATGCATGAAACAATATTTATTTCTTGCTGAAAGCTGAAATGCACATTAAATAACAAAACAACAATATTATGCAATGACTATTTGCAAATAATTTGTCAAATCTCAAAATATGGTCAAAGAAAGTTGTGTGAACGGTTATTAGCATCACATTTTCTTCTCAGAATCTATTTATTCTAAAATATATTATGTACTAATTAAGCAAATTAGTTTATAATGAAAGTAAAATATGGCTATAAGCTTGCCAAAACAAAGCTTTGAAGCAAAAATGGAAAAAGTTACTCGATGAATGTTATGTGATAATAACATTCAGTTCAAAAGTGAAAAATTAATGAATTTATGTTAAGCAAAATGTGAAAGTTATGATGGATATAGCAAAATAACTATATTTCACTAACAAAGTTACAAAATATCCTAGTCAAAATCCTGTCCCTATGTGAGAGGCGACATTGTAAGGTAAAAAAATTAAGAAAACTGTGTAACTATTTATCTAGTTAGTTATTTCAAAAAAGAAAGAAAAAGGCTGGAGGTGGTGGCCGGTTAATGGTAGCCGATTTTAGCTTCTCAGCTTCCATTTAAAGTGAGAGTTGTAACGGGCGCCGGGAAGCTGGTGACATCTCCAGGTGTCCGGAATAACTTATGGGAACATCAGCTTTAATCTCAAGGCCAGTTTTGACTAGGGTTGAATGATAAAGGCGTCTTCCTCCTCAATTATTTATTGTGAAAGAGTACATACCAGATTGGATTCCAGGCGTCAAAGTACATTAAGTATTGGATTTACTTAGACTATTATGGCTGGTCCATGGTCAAAGATATCAAAATGATATTTATAAAGATATCATTAAAATTAAAGATGAAGCTAAAGAAATTAAGGATTATAAAGATTATAAAGACCAGTTATAGAGCTGAAACAAAAGAGACATTTGTGAGACCAGGCAACATGGCTAGATATATGTATGACAATTTTAATCTTAATTCTTACCTGCAATCGCAGCTCTTTTAAAGTTTTACCAAAGGGCCATTGGCACCAATATTAGTTTGCAAAAATGCGATGAGCGCATTTTTGGAAAAAGAAACCGAACTATAAATTATTATTATATTTCACATTTTTAAAAAGTGACTGTTCGTCTCTGCAAAGAATCGAAAAGTAATGTTGCCAGGTCGCACTTCCAAAAACGCCGCGAGTCTCAGTGTTGGCGCATTAAAATTTAAATTTGGGCATGGACAAACCATAAATTACAAAAGTTTACTTAAATTTAGAATGACAATTATTACGTATTTATTTTAATGTTTTATAAAATTAAGACAATTTTTAAAGATGTGTTTCGTTTATTAAAAAAATAGGGAAAATCCTTAAGTGACGGACGTCAAACCATATATTATTTATTTATGTATGTGACGGCGTAGATAAGACGTTACACCATTCTAACTTTTATAATCTTTCCATACTAACATTAACTTTAGTTATTTGAGAATCCCACAGGAACCATTGTTTTTCGGAATAAAATGTATCCTATGTTTTGATCCAGGTCATAAACTATATACATACCAAATTTCAACCGAATCTGTTCAGTATAATTTGTGTGATTGAGTAACTAACATACGAACTTTCACATTTATAATATTAGTTGGCTCTTTCTATACAATAAAAATAATTTTTGTATTGTATAGAAAAACTTAAAAAAGAAGTTCAATGCTATATTTTTAATTATGTTATATTCATTTCACTTACCTGTCTGCCTCATCAAGTACCAAATATCTTATCTTTTTAAGTGAGAAAGTGTCGCAGCCTGTTATATGATCAGCCAATCTTCCAGGCATTGCAACTACAATATGTGGTCGTTTAGCTAACTTCAGTGACTCTTCCAATTGATCAGAACCCCCTGTCACTATACACACTCTTAACTGAAGAGGCTGTCCTAGGATACTGAACTGATCTCCTATCTAAAACGGGAACAATTAAAGAGTTTATAATTTCAATAAGAATCATAAAAAATATGGTATATAATAAAATAAATGACAATTAAATGCTCTTTATTTGTATATAACTATGCTTCAGCTAACACATGGAATTGCAGACTGAAAATATTGTAACTAGACATTTACCTAGTCAAGTAGTAACTTTTTATTAGTAACTGTATCTCTTATATATTAGAGAGATATCTTCACAAATGTATGTAGGTAGTTAAATCTGATTTCCCATATAGTACTGCACCTATGCAATAGATTCAATTATAATAAGTTGTTATTAAATTAGATTTAAATTGCAGACAACTTCTCAAAGAAGAATCAGGTAATAATGAGTTGTATTCAGAACATGCAGAGGTTTATCAAAAATATTTCTTATTTATTTTGTAAGGCATGTTATAAATACCTGATATGCCAACTCATGGGTGGGAGTGAGCACCAGAGCATATATTCCATATGGATCTTCGGCCAGGCTTTGCAATATTGGGAGAGCAAAGGCAAATGTCTTGCCTGATCCTGTCTTAGCTGCTCCGATACAGTCCTCTCCAGAGAGTATTTGAGGTATACAGCCTTTCTGAATAGGCGTAGGTGCCTTAACACCTATAAAACATCATACAGATGCATATAAAAACAGTGCAAGCTAAATAAAGGCATGTATTATTGACCGAGAAAGTATTTTTTAAGGTTATACCATCAATTTGATGGTTATTCAAATAGGTACAAATAAAATCAAAAGTAACTAACCAAGACTAAAGAGTTGTTTGATGAGCCACGGTTTCACACCAAGCTTTGCAAAGTCTTTTATATCCTTTTCATCCATAGCGAACACGATGTTTCCACTTCCCACTTTTATATTGAATAATGCATCTGATTGATAAGAAACACAGTAATATTACATAACGTATATTAATTTTTACAACACAAACTAAAAACACTAGTTAATATCACGAATTTCCTAGTGGTCTTTGGAAATATAAATAAATTATTTTACGAGTTGCGATCTAAAATAACATACGATACAAACACAAGACGAGACGAGACAACATCTGACAGTTCTGTCACTGTAAGTGTCATGCCACTGTCAAACCCAGGTGGGTTAATCTCAGTTCAGTAATGTTTAAAACATAAACTTTTGACACCATGCCATGTTATCTGTTTTTGCATGGTTTTTGCCAGAGAAATAATACCGGTTTCCTTTTGATTTAATATTTTTCCATTATGTTGAATATTATTGTCATAAAAACATAGCAATTTACGTCAGGTTTGTACTGAAATACCCATTGGAAGAATTTTATATAGATTTATTTTCCTAATTTGAATTTCCATACATTTCTGAACGTTTGTCTGCCTCCGCCCCCGCTCTCCCGGCCCTTTCGCCCTTCCCCTCCCCCTTCCTTCTTTCATTTCAGTATTTTTCTGTCTTTTTGTGGTTTGGCTCAGTTTCGACGTGCCGGAATAAAACTTTATTCAATTCTAATATATTATCTACGATACCCTACTAAATTATTTACATAGTTTAAGTATATAGGGGTGCGGATAATCAAGATTAAAGTGTATATCTGTCATTGATGTGTTTCTATTTCTAATTGCTATTACTACGGTTCTTTGCGGTTATATGCACGGATAGTTGCATTGAATAATACTTTGTATTGAGAGTAAGTTAGCTATCTTTTTATACCTTAACACATAGTAAATACTGTTAACCTAAATAGAATAAATTACTAACAAATGTAGGATTGCATTATGTACTGTATCCACCTATTCCTTTTGTTTCTAATGCATCTGCCGTCATTGCACTTGCCCTGACTGGTCTTTGTATTAATTAGAGAAATACCTAGGTATCTACTGTGTAATAAATTCACATTAAATTGAATTATGGTGATTTGTTTATACTTTAGGAACTTTTTAAAATTAGTAATTTAGATAATAATGCCACACCATCCTGTCTTTGTGTTTAGGAACAAGCATAGGTCTATAGAATAGTTAATTGATATGGATTTACTATTTATTTTTTTGCCAATATTTAGGTATTTTGATCTATATACCTATGTTATATGCACCTGGTTTGAAATATTTTTGACCTCTGTGTGTTTTGATCTTCTGTTTTTGAATATTTTAGTATAGTAAAAAGTGTGTTACAATACAATTTACTGTACCCAATTTAATTTCACAGGATTCTGAAGATTGGACAAAATGGGTGCGTTCCGGACAGTTATGACCCTGGCAGTTCACAATGGGAGGACTGGATTGAAAAATAAAGCCAATGTAAGTATAATTTATGAGCCTTTTCGTTCTGTGACTTTGTAAAGATAGAATATTCTAATTGTTTTTCATACCCTTCAAATTAAATAATATCAAAATTTAAAATGTCCTTCTCCAAAGCACCATTTATAACTGTACTGTAATTCATAAAAAAATGTTTTTGGACCAAATTACGTTCTCTAATTTCTATGCATAAATAGACTTTGTTTAAGAAAACAACTTAGTGGAGCTTCCCTTATTAAACAAAAAACAAGGAAGTATAACTGCATCTAACAAAAGGGAGTTGTAATTGGTAAGAGTAACAACATCAATACAATTGGGACAATGACAGAAAAGCTTCTTTTTTGTAGTTACTAGCTTGTTTCCATTATTAGTAATGGTGATATGATTATCTCAATATTTTTTCACCCTACGCCTTAAAATTCTACTAAACTTGCATGAATGCCTGTTATTTATAATATAAAGCAACCACTTATTATTTTAATTTCGAACAGTAAAAAAATATGTAAAAAATTACTCCTTTAGTTATTTATTTCATGTCTGACCTTTTGTCTGTCATTCACAATGTCACATTTCACTTATATTTATTTAAAAATCATATTCATTTCACAAATTTCTCTCTTGACAACAACTGCATGTTAAATATTGATATAACTCAAAACTATTCAATGTAACTAAATAGTTTTATTTGTTAAAAAGAAAACTCATCAGATAAAAGTTAAGTTAAGAGATAATGCCCTTATCTCCCTGTTAAACTGAAATTAGTTAACCTTAGTCTAACCAGCAAGAAGTCTTTATTTGTAAGCTTTAGGCTAATCTGGCATTAAAATGCAAAATGTATTCCCCCTCCACTGCACCAAGCTATTTTTAGTTGCTACATCGAGTCATTTTTCGTTTACATACTTAGTATTCGAGTACATACATACAGAAAATGAACCTTATTCTGTTGCATTGAACAATGATTGTCTGGTTGCGACGCCCGCGCCGGCCGGTTCCGTATCACGCAAGCATCACGCAGTCGCCATGTGCTTTCGCATAGATACAAGCTGCATACTATATATGTATGTCTGCCACTGCCGCCCGGCGCGGTTTTATAAACGAACTAGCGGCCGCCCGTGATTTCGTCCGCTTTAACCTTGGTCTTTTGAGAATCCCACAGGAACGGACGTAACAAATTTCATTCATAATCGTTCTATAGTGTTGGCGTGATGAGTAAAAACAAACTCACTTTCGCATTTTTAATATAAATAAGGACGAATAACGACACGACTTTTGGCTCCCAACACGGAACAAAGATCTAACGCAGTATGGGACGTTAGTTCCTAATCTTTTGTAAAGCTTTGATCTCTAAAGATTAAAACAGAGTCAAACCGAAAATTCAGGAATTTTCGTAGAATTTTATGTAGCTAAACATGGACGTATAAAAAAAGGTTTTTTTATAAGTCCATGTAGGTAAATTATGGATCAAAAAACCGTGCTTATTCAGCCTGCGTATTTTTTCTGCACAGTATGGTCACGGTAATATTATCTATATGGTTGTCTTAGGATTATTATTCATTTAAACTTAATTGCACATTTAACTGTACTTATTATCTTAGAGTGAACAAGATTTTAAGGACCTGAAGATTGAGAAATGGAACCATGTCCTATTAATAATAATAGGACATGGTTCTGCCTCCGCTGTTTGTCTCACCTCAGGGCTCTTAATCTCCTGAACAGAAATAATAACAATAATCCCATCTAAAAATATTGAATGTAGGAACCTCACATATCTTACTGTGGAAGACTTTAACCGAATCACATCTACAATATTGAAAATTTGAAAGATATTGAAGCAGTATGAACATAGAAATATTAATAAAAAAAGTCCAAGCTTTTGTGACTGTCTGTCCACAAATGAAGCCAGTGTACAATGTATTATCAGTCTGTTGACCTCGCACGTATTTGGCTTCACAATCTCTTGGGATCTGGTTTGATCTCCTAGTCTACCAGCGCCGGGTGGGCTAATAGTACATACCTATTGATAAGGTTTTCTTAATTTTTTTTTTGTTAATTGATATTGTTTTTCAAACATTATTTCAGTGAGCTTAAAAAAATAGTATTTTATTTATATCACGGTATTTGAGTCGACCGACAGAGTACCAGTTTTAGTGAGCCAACCTAACATGCCCGAAAATTATTTATATTTTCATTCTGAAAGATGAACGAACAGGGTTACGGGTTCCCTCTCCCCTTTTAAGTTTCCATCTGAACTGTTTTCTTTGACTACCTCGATTTCATCTGATAACTTGCGATAATTAATTTTCGGGGGGAAATCACTCGTAACCCAACGCACCAGACACCAAGAAGCCGTAGTCACACGGTTGCGAATGTTGCGATAAAAGAATCGCTAACACGTTCCTTTCCATACCCCAAGGAGTTCTAGCGTCCTTTGACTTACTCACTTGCAGAACTGCAACGTACATAAGTATACATACAATAAAATGGTAGGAAAGTCAAAACTGTACATTGAATATTTAACACGCGTACGTAGTCGCAGGCGCCCGCTAGTTACATAGTTGTACATATAATGCGATTCAAATAAGAATAGGAAAGCCAATGACCTCCATCTGTCAAATGTCGCTTGAAAAGTACGGTTTGCATAAAAATCGCGGAACACTTTTTTAGCACTCAGCTGATTCTAGAATAAAAACCTAACATTTTTAAACAAACAATTACAAATGTTGATAATTAATATTAGTTGTTTTTTTTTTCATTTATTGAGCTTTGGCTATGAATGGTTGATAACCTAAATCGTCAACCAAATGTCACTTTATGTTGCGTTCAAAAACTCAATTTTTAAACTTTCGTTTACATATAGGTTGTATGTGGCCTGCATGATTATTCATAACTTCTCCGGCGGTAATGCAGAGATGAGCGAAATTGAAGAGCTAGATTCTGATAATGTTTTTTGGTAATAGGTAAAAAATTACATTTTTATGTATATATTTTGCTATACATACTTGTATGCATTTTTTACTCAAAGGCATAAAGTTAATTCTTCAAACTTGCTATAAGTTATGTAGCCAAGCTGAGAGATATATTTTTTCCTAGTACGCAATGTCCAGAATATCCTATATTAATTTGGGAGACGCCAAATAAAACACTAACTCGATACGGTACACATCTATACATATGAATAAAATTGGGGTGTCTGTTGTAATATTGAAATAACCGGTTTTTACTACATGCATATGAATATTAATACGGTACGTACGCCAAAATAACATTTTTACAATTTTCGTCTGTCTGTCTGTTTTTTCCGGCTAATCTCTGAAATGGCTGGACCGATTTTGACGGGACTTTTATTGGCAGGCAGCTGATGTAATAGAGAGTAACTTAGGCTACTTTTATTTTAGAAAAAAGAACTAAAAGTTAACACGGACGAAGTCGCGGGCGGCCGCTAGTATTTAATATATTAAGAGAAGGGACAATAAATCCAAGTCAAAACCGTGGTATAAACAAAGTGGTGGAGAATTATATGAGATCTTGTCCACAACTAGAAACGACCTGCATCACACCCAAGTGATTGGGGTAGGCCCTTATCTAATATGAGCATTCATTAATATAGTACATACTGCCAACTATAAGAAAGATTAATGGCGTGACGTTCGCTGGTGCCATAGATTTTTTCTTATGTTGCATCACGTAAAATGCACATTTTTGAGATTGTGATTATGTGGAATCCTATCATTAGGCAAGAAGTAGATAAAAACTTACCTGAAGGAACCAAGTTTAGTTCTGAGTTCTAATTTTATTTGAACCTCAATAAATAAATACTGAATCTGTAACTTAACGGTCCCGGTAATGAATATCAATCAGATACATGAAATGATACATGAATCAACATTGTTGAGGCGAGGAGATAACTACCGCATATTAATTTGAGCGATAAATCGCTGCCCCACCTAGTAAAGAAAAGAATAGAGGAAACCTGTAGTTATTCTCTCTCCTTCACTCGATGAACAAAATTGATTTTGTCGTCACAATAGGTCACGCATAATAAATAAAATCGATGTTGCATTAAAAATGCATTAAGTTCGTCAGTGCTAAGTAGTTGCTTTGAAATATATAGTTTCGGTTAAAGTAGTAGATTTTTTTAAATAAAGTGAGTAAAAATCTGGCAGTTACATGCTTCAAAAATAAATAAAGTGAGTTTATATTCTACACATACAAACCAATATTTACGAATATGAATATGGATAATGTCCGCTGCCTGGTTCAAGAACAAAAATAAATTTGACTCTTTTTACAAATTCGTTGACACCACACCAACCAACCTTGATCTGATATTGAATAAAGATGACACAAAATATACAACTATATTACTGGCTAGAAGGTCATTCAAATAGTACTAGGGATTTTATCGTAGTATATTAATTTATTAAGATAGTTCTAATCTGAGGTTCTAAACACGTGAGTTATGTATAAGCATTACGGCAGATTATTATATTACTTAACTGATGATAAAAAAACGGCTTCTGTGTTTATATCAAATTTCGATAACGTGACCTCGATATGTCTGATGGATTGAATTATATAACACATTTGAAGTCATTAATTGAGAAAATAAATAAACATTGCCATGTTTTAGATTTATATTATCGAGATATAAAAATATACCCATATACAAATTTTAAAAAATCCTTGAGACATCCAAAAATATTATGCAGAACCGTTGAAGAGAATAAAAAGTATTGCATATCCATAAATTTCGATAAAGACTTTTGATAAAGTTATGGACGTTTATGTTGCGTACCTACAAATTTGTACAGAACCCTCGGTGGGCGAACCCTCTCTCTCTTAAAATCACTTTAATGTATTAAAATAAATTTATCTATCTTTACCTCTTTGCCCCTGTATGGCACGCGTATTATATGTATGATATGTATTTATATGCTAGTGTGTCGATCGGTTCAGGTCCAAAGTTCAAATCTCAATCCGTAAAGAACCGTTGAACGTAC